CAATCCCCCCCCCTTGCCCCCCTGTAGTGACGCCTATGTCAGGAACAAACTCCATTCGCATATACTTTATATACGTGCACAGGTGACTCAGTCATTCTCAACCAGGGTTTCATAGAACCTTAGGGTTCAGCTAGAGGTTTCTAGGGGTTTCTAGGGGTTTCTTGAGCTTTGACTGATTGACTTCCCATTTGATGGCTCCCACGTAGTTCTGGGGCCTATCTCACTCGAAAGAACCATCCGCATGGTATCATTATCTTTTTAGTTGTCTTTAAGGTTGATATTTTGACCACCACTGTTAGGGGGCATTATTCCCAATGAATGCCAAAGTAAGGTGCATTTTTCACACTGATCCCTGTTGAATTGTTTTCAGCAAGTGTTCCATTTGACCTGGAAATTCTTCCAGCGTTCCTCTTGGGTAAATAGGTAGTAAAAGGCTGCTTTAATCCAAACATCATGGAATGTATCAAGGCGAATGTTGATTGCCCAAGAACAGGATGAAGGCTGTAAAAGTTATAGACTCACTCTTTTCTGATTACATAATCCTATCCCTTGGTTTCAGGAGTCCTTAATAGTTTTTTTTATATTATAATTACGGCTTGCTTTCTTGTTGAAGCATTACAATCCTGGGAATTGCCATAAACTGAATAAGACTTGCATGGAAATATTCAGCTTTTTCCATGGGGACAGGAAGACTGCTACCCATATATACAAATCTGTTATATACAAGTCCCACTCCATATTCTGTCACCAGTTAAAAATTAGACAGGCCCAATATGCACCTAATGTACTTGTCCTGGGTGATTTTAAAACATGTCTTGTACATGCAGGGTAAAGAAACAGGTTCACTTTGATGGTGGCCTCAGGAATAGTACATATTCATTTTACTTTTGCTCCCCACAATTCTGTTTCATGACAGGGAGCAAAAAAAAAATGCAAAATTGGACATTGGGGATAATGTTACTCACTATCTTCCACCCATCTGACAGGCTGGATGGGCTTTGACAAAATACAGGTTCACTTTAACTGCAAGCATACATAAAAGTGCTCAGTTGAATTATGTATAAGTGAACATTTTTACCTGCCAATGCATTTATATTTATGTTATGCCAGTCTTGTGCTCTAACTCCCCTACCAGACTGCCAGAACCTCCCTCCCGAATGCACCACAGTTAAGTAATGCAACCTGGTCTAGGACCTACCTGAGCCTTTGAATTGACAATAACGGAGCATCAGAATCATCCTTTTGCTCTTTCTTCTAAGCATGTTCAAATTGTTGACTGACAGCACTGTGCAAAGCAATAAAGTTCTGACTAGCCCAATGTGCTGACCCTTCATCACCCAGTCTAAGTGCAGCCATGTAGTTGATTACAGGAGGCTGATATCGAGAGAAATTCAGGTTCTTATGCTAACTGTACATAAAAATACAGTTAATTTTTTTAACTGAATGCTTAAATGAATTAAATTGTGTTGTATCTCTCTGCAGTGACCACTTTACAGAATCCATGTAACTTCTATTAACTTTATTTGCAGATTTTGTTGTCCAACAGATATTGACCTATCAGTCTGTGTCAGTGGATACATTTCAGTATAAGAATGATGTATTTGTGTCAATAGCACAGCCAAGCATGGAAAATTGCATGATTCTTGAGTGGGACCATATTGAAATGAACTTCAGAAGCTACGACAATATAACAGGTACTCATAAAAAGTTATTCTTTCAAAAGGCTAAGTCAACCCTCACCTGGCATTTATAGACATAGATAGACGATAATAGTTTAAAGCTCCTGCTGATTTAAACACACTGACACTCCCAGATCCACCTCTCTGTATTGGCAAGAGAAATCTGCATGCCTATTTTTTTTGGCCTGCATCATAATAATTGCCTGCCCAAGTAAGGGGATGGGGCGGCTAAGAAGCATCTCTGCTGCAGTATAGAGCAAATGGAAATACTTTGTACATCCAGCATCAACCCCAAGGGGCTTACATTATGATCACTAGCCCAAAGCTATTCGGAGCAAGTTAAGCATTTTCAGTATAATTATGACAATTGTCAGGAGTCACATTAATAGTGGATTTAATGATTTACAATGTGTTGCATACCATTCACCTGCAACACCTATCATTCAGTGCTCTATCCTTTATTATATGTAGATTAAATGTTTATGATTCACAGTTTTTTCCAATCAAACCAATTAACGAACCAATCATCAGTTTGACTACTGAAGCGAATGCATATAGAGACTTGCCTTTAAATCATGCCTCTTAATCCGATCATCTTCTTCTTTAGTGTAGTTTTCGGATGTCCCTCCAGCGCTGGTGTGGGTCTCCGATCCAGCACTGACTCCTCTGTGCTTGCTGGCACTTCCTGTCCCATGGTGTCTGTGCAGGTTCACGCTGCTCCATATATTTACCTTGTGTCTCTCCTCGTCTCCCGGCCGAACATCTGAACTGCGCATGCGCCCGCCCCAAGATCCTTTGCGGCCGCCTGAGACTCTCCAGATGTTCGGATGGCAGCGCGCGGCGAGGACACAGATAAGTTTAAACCTGTTTGAAAGGGGTTTTTAAAAAAGTATTTGCATATATCTACTGCTTGCTAGCAGTAGATATATGCAAAAACACGCTAAGGGTTTAATAAATCTTTAAAGCCTATCTCCAGCCAAAGATTTTTTGTTGTTGTTTTAGATAGACTAGAGAGCTGATGACTTCTGTTTTATTGTTGTCTCTAGTTCCAGGTTTCCCCTCATTTATTGTATGGCCACCACCAAGACAATGCCTGAGGGGAATTTCTCCAAAAGGGCACATACATTAAGTAAACATAACGCCACTGCCAATTATGGCAAGGTCCCCATGCAGGTGAAATGTTAGCCTTTAAGTCGAAATGAGATGAAAAAGCTTGCTATACTTTTATGACAACGTTTACCATAATGACACCATTGGGCGAGTGTCTAGGGCAGCACCAACACCTAAAAATTGTGATAACTTTTTTTTTCTTAATTTGTTTTTCTCTTTGGCTACCTCTGGACATTTGTGGCTAAGTTCAGCAAAAGTACAGTAGGGGGTATGTTGGATGTTGAAAGGCCAGAAGGCTCTTAGTTTAAGAAACATGAAACCAGATCTTTCATTTGCTGGATGGTCTGTACTATTGCAATTGCTGTAAATTAGCTCAGACTGTATGCTGCCTCCGATAGGAAACTCTAGGATTCGTTTTTACTAATAGCACAAGAGGCAGAAATTGCACAAAGAGGTGTTATCATTATGGTTTGTCTAGGGCTAAATACTGCCATGGGTAGACATGTGGTGTCGCCCTTGTAACAAAATCCATTTAGCTCCTTGCTCTTTCACTTTCTTTATTGCTCCTTTCCCAATTGGTTGGCCTTAACCGAAAGAAGAAGAATATTTCCAGTCAAACCAGAAAGAAGGGCATGAACAAAGACAGACTTCTAAAGCTAAACTGAATTGTCAACAGAACTTTCATCAGCTGCTGTTTAGGGATTGCTAGAGAGATGTGACAGGAGAGAGAGAACAATAAAGGGCTTACAATGGCCTATATGCACAAATGCGGTTAGATGGAATAGTAAGAAGTATAGCATAGGTCACTTTGAATATGTTAAGTTGTATAATTTCATGGATGAAGTGATTTTATTGGGATTTTAAATCTTTAGGGAGTTAGTGCCATTGAACTTAGAGGATGGTGTGAGAAAAAGCATAACAGTATGAAATCTGAGATGTATAAGGCCTTTTTTGACCATGTACTGGTATCCAAACCTACATATAGTTGGGGGCATTGTAATCAGCATAAACAGAAACAAATATTTCAGTGAAAATATCTGCTTTATCCTAATCTGTATTTTTTTATACTGATCATTCTGACGTGGCTATCAAAGAAGGTAACCGCTGCTTATTATTTTTTTCAACATGTTGTCATTTTTTATTGTCTTATTTTAAATGAAGACCTAATAGTTGAAAGCCAGTTTAGAAATTAAAGAGTTCAGGAAATTAATCTTCATTTTTTATTTTTTTTAACAGGTCAGTCGATTGTTGGATGCAAAGCCATACTTATTGATGACCAGGTGTTCATGGTGGTAGCTCAGCTGTTTGGGGGCTCTCACATATACAAGTATGATGAAAGTTGGGCCAAGTTCACCAAGTTTCAAGACATTGAAGTCTCCCGTATATCCAAACCCAATGATATCGAACTTTTTCAAATTGAAGGTGAAACATTTTTTGTGATTGCTGACAGCTCAAAGGCTGGTCTGACTACAGTGTATAAGTGGAATGGGAAAGGGTTTTATTCCTATCAGTCTCTCCATGAATGGTTCCGAGACACTGATGCAGAATTAGTTGAAATTGATAATAAGCCTCATCTTGTGCTATCCAGCCGATCTCAAGTACCTCTTATTTTGCAGTGGAACAAAAGTACAAAGAAATTCACCCCCCATAGTGACATCCCAAACATGGAAGACGTTCTAGCAGTTAAGAGCTTCAAGATGAAAGATGAACTTTATATTGCATTGACAAGATTTATTGGGGACTCCAAAATTATGAAATGGAATGCAAAGCAATTTGTTGAGATTCAGGCTCTACCATCCCGTGGAGCAATGGCATTGCAACCATTTACCTTTAAAGATAGGCATTACTTAGCATTGGGCAGCGATTATACTTTTTCACAGATTTACCAGTGGGATCCTGAGAAAAAGACTTTTGAGAAGTTCAAAGAAGTCTATATCCAAGCACCTCGTTCATTCACAGCCGTATCTACTGATCGACGGGATTTTGTCTTTGCCTCCAGCTTTAAAGGGAACACTCAGATCTTCGAACATGTCATTGTTGACCTGAGCTTGTAACATGCCAATCAACATATAGACTAGGTCAACAAAATGTCCCAAGAAGAGAAACAGGAAAACAATGATGTATGTATGAATTGCATATCTGTACATACACCCAGTCTGCACTTTTGAGAGCATACTTTGGTTATTAGCATGACACTATTCATCTATCATTTTTAATAACTTTCAATCTTTTTGTAACCAATACTAAGTGACTGCTTGGGACGGATCTAACAAACATAGGCAAATATAGCTTTTGAAGTGTCAGAATAAGCTATTTCTGCAATATACAGATATTATCTGGCTTGCTATAAAGGAGCCTTTAGTAGTCAGTAACTCTTAAGCTAGGTTATTAATTCAAATTTGCAAAGCTCAATTTGGGAATTGCATTGCATGCTAAGATTCAAGCTACCTAAAAACCTTTAGCTGCTTATGTGTTGCCTATACCTGCTGACCAATGGTTTGCAGATTATCAGATTTTGTCATAGCTGCTTATGGCCAGATCAGAAAGATACGGCCATTCGTTGCCATGGCCGAACACTCATTTCAGTTTTGTAGCAGCAGCAGGGACCATATACTGTAAACTGCCACATACAGACAATTTATAACTTGTCCATTATGCCTGATTATTGTCAGTCACTTATTGATAGGGAGCAGGAAGGGGACAACTGTCTGTATTTTGGGTTGAAATGGGTTCATTTTCTGCTTTTTCCACTGCATATAGGCACCTTTTATAGCTGAAGAACAACATGAAAGCCAGATTTTGCTTACAGGATCAGCCCAACCAAAGCAATATTTCATTTACAGCTAGTCTTTAATGGACAGATGTACCCAGTGGCTTCTTATACTTTCAGGGACTCCAGCAGGGAGATCTCCCTGTGGCAGTTCCTGGATCTGTTACAACCCACTATGTACTGTTACTTCATCTGCAGGGAGAGGGGCCATCTCATTTCAGCCAAAGTGAATGTGCAGTGTGAGAATTTGACTACAGAGATCTAACCATCAGGATCCCCAACATACTTAAAGTGGACATTCAAATGTAAGGCTTGGGATCATTATAAGCCTCCCTCCTCTCTGTTACAGATTTGTACGTATTTTTTTGGGAGGGGTAGCTGTACCTTTGTTTTTGTTTTGATGTGGTTCACTTCCTTACTCATCATCTAGGTGAAGATGATGTACACTTGCCCCACCCCTTTCAGCAGCCGTCTTTGATTTGGGAGCCACCTGTCACTGTCTAATCACTCCCAAAAACAATCCCAAATCCAAGATGGCAGTGCAGGAGAAGAAAAAGATGAGAAGACTTTGGGTTGTAGGAAGACAGCGCTGGACCCCATGGGATGGCAGGCATGTGTTTTTCAAAGGTTAGCTGCTACAGCACATGTAGCTGCTGACTTTTAGTTTCTCTTTGAGAAATTGCAATGCCATTTAACTCTTCAGTATCTTCCAAAAGCTAAAACTATCAGATTTGGTTGGTCTGACCCTTCGGCTGTACAGTAGAGGTCTAAAGGCATGTATACTGCATTACTTACAACTGTCTTTTTCTTGAAAAAATATTTCTATGGTTGAATTTTTGTATGCTATGTTTTCTATAGTTCAGCTAAAATTATATTTGGAAACTGTCTGAAGATATTGTATTTCTCAATAGCTTAGAAAACGATTATAATATTGATAACAGGCAGGTTAAAATGCATAGCTTGTACATTTCCTGCTATACCAAAATGTAATTTTGGTAATGTCTACAGTTACACTGTAACATTTGAGACAGTATCACTTTTCTAGCATGACCCACCCCAAAAACAACTAACAAAAAGATTTACAAGTGCAAACCCTTTCAAACTGACTGATGACATTAAAGTTGTTTCTTACTGAAGGGTGGTGCTGATATGCAAGTATCAACTTCAACTAGACGGTTAGTTCTTAGCGCCTCTGTTTCCTGCATCTCCAATTTGACCCATCACGGTGAAAGCCAACCTCAGTGACCGCATGTGAGACAAAAGGGTGGAAAGGACAAGTGGCATTTACCATCCTAAAGTTGGTATCTGCACATTACAGCGCTTCTGGGGTGCTTAAAGGTGCCCATTCACCTTACAATTATCTGCAGATTTTTTTGTCTGCGATCCCATTTCCGTCCGAAAAATTGGCCGGTTGATGGGAAGGGCACACCCTCAATTACTGTACAACTGGCAGATTTTCGTCTTTCAAGCAGGCTAGAACATTTTCATCTAGTTGGACGAAAATTGATGGGTTAGTGGTGTTTTTGTACAACAAAAATCTCAAGATGAAAACTGCACATGCTCAGATGAAAATCTGTTCTTTCGATCAACGAAAATCGGACAATTACCGTGTTTCCCCGAAAATAAGACACTGTCTTATTTTTTTTTTTTGCACGAAATAAGACACTAGGTCTTATTTTCGGGGGATGTCTTACCTGGCTGGGGGAGGAGTGGACGAGGTCCCGGAAGGCGGCGTGCTGTTGACAATCCCGGCGGATGTCGCTTCCTTATATTACAGAAATCCCTGAAGATAGTGCTAGGTAGTAGGTCTTACTTTCGGGGAAACACGGTAGTAGTGCTTATGAACGTTAATTGCGAACTACATTGATCTGTGCATGATGGGCTGTTTGAACGAAAATTGAACGAGGGTGAGATGTCTGGACAAAAAAAAGTTGTGCAATGGTTGTATGGCCACCTTTAGAAAATAAGTGAGGCTGTGTAAAGCAACCTGGTGGTGCCTGCTATAACAGAGAGGTTTACTACAGTTACACCTAGTATAGAGCATGTTTATATTTGGGGTTAATGTTCACATTTTGCAAGAAAAAAAAAACCTTATAAATGCATCACAATTGCTGACACATTTTGTTTAGCTCAATGGCTGCTGTGCGATTCACTGTGTGTGACTGGTAGGTACAATAAGGTTAAGTGATTCCAGTGGCCATTGTTCTTTTTGGACGTACAGGTTTCATTGCATTCACACAAACCAGGGAAATCTGAAAATGTGGGTACGAAAAAAAGGATACAAAAGATTTATGGAATCTGGAAACACAAGAATAATTAAAGTTACCCCCAAGCAAAACCTAGAAAAATGAAGGCGCGATGTCTACTTGCTCGGTACCTACATTTTTCACCTGGACTGAAGACCACCTTAGCTCTTTTGTTTGCATATGTGGTGATACAAGAAACCCTTCTTTTGATATAGGAGAGGTATCCCCAAACACACCCATAGAAGGCTCATTGCTTTCAAGTTTCAATCACATAGGAAAAGCCTGATATAAAAAATCAATATATAAAAGTTTCTTGCAGATGCCCATCAGATTTAAGCTTGCCATGTATTTATGAATGTTATTCATGATACAGGTAGGTAGTAGTAAGTGAGGGTTACAAAGCAAGGGCTTCAGAGAAAAAAAATACCCCACAATGTCCATGTGGTGTGCTTTCTGGAGTCTGGCTATAATGGATTTCCTAGATTACACAGAATCGAGAATAAGGATAACTCTGAGAGAACTTTCTCATTGTAGCATAGTTGTAGTGTTTTGTGAATAATGTTAGCAGCTGACATTGGTTTCACATTTTGGCTGAAGCTGCTCTTAAAATGGAACCCTAGCTAAAATGTTTTGTTTCCCTATATTTGGAGGTCTTTCATAACCATGACCCTTTAAATTACTTGAAATATGAAATTCAAAAGCTGCTCGCATGCACTGTCATTCAACAGAATTCACCAGTCTGTGGTCTCTATTCTAAAGGTGAAAGGATATCTGTCCACTGGAAATAATGATTTCCTACATTAGAGGATACATCACACCCGGCTACCTTTAAACGTTCATTTAGTATAATAAATGCTGGCAATGTTGTCAGCAAATGTGCACCAGATCTGGACAAACCCAGGCAGGAGCATGTTCCAGGATACACCCAAGGTTCATATAAAGATAGAGAATTGTCAGTAGGACGAAACATGTGAACAGTACACTATCTATCTGCCTTCCTTTTAGCTCAGAACCAGACCAACTATTTGTATGGAAGAGGTATCTCTGAAAATGGCCATGTTAGACAATGTTGTAACCAATGATGCATCAAACTGACTTGTGCATAGGATATGTAAAAAATGACAAGTCCATCTTAAAACCATAAAAGGCTCATATGGTTTCAATTCTGCATGTTCATCAACAGACCATGTCATCACTATATTCTGAGCTGTAAGTAACACTTGGATCTTTCCTTCCTGGCTTGAAGGTGGGGGGTGTTGGTATGGAGCTTGCTGCCCTCTAGTTGTATCCATTATGTTAGCATCAGATATACAAATTCTAATCTTGCACACATACACCCGCCAAGCTAAACTGCTTTGCATTATTTTTACCATGACCATCACCATGACCATATGACCATCACCATGACCATTTGACCATCACCATGACCATTTGACCATCACCATGACCATATGGCTACACAAATCATGCACAAAGCTGTTGGTGACATTTAAACTGTCTATATTCCAATAAGCAATTGTACATAGGAAGAGAAATTTCACAGTTCATAGCCTCATTTAGGCTGTAGATACTGTGCTGGGGAAAAATCATCCCCTTGAGATCCAGTCTGGTTGTCACCCAGGCTGGACATCAAACATGTCTTCATCTTTTCATCTCCACTACATGTCGGGTAGGAAGATTAGAAGTTTACAAAAGAAAGATAACATTCCTTGTTTTTAGTTAAGCTCACAGGGAACATCAACTGATATTTTCTGTACTTGCTGAAAATATTAGTACTTAGCCTGACAATTCAAAACGAATGCAGCCACCACATCTCAGGACCGTTAGGCCCCTTTCCCATGTGTGGCATCTGTTCTGATCAGCAGGAGATCCATTCACAGATCCCCTGCTAATCAGAGCAGGACAGAACGGATGTCACTCCAAAGCAGTGCCAGCCATACCAGTGGCAGCTTAGCAGTGCCAGTCACACCACTGCCAGGCAATGCAAGTACCAACCAGAACCAGTCATGTCTGGAATTAGCCGTGCAACAGTTATTGAGTGAGCAACACCCAGAATTGTATGACCCAAGTCTGCCCAGCTACTGAGCCTCCTTTAAAAAAACGGAAGTGTGGCCACTGCTGGTCACTTCCCTTTACTACATCACTTTACCCTGTAACATACTCCCCTACTTGCAGGGCATTTTGCAAGTGTTTTTGACGCCTCCCTAATGCATTGAAAATGCCTTTTTAACACTACAGGCGTGTTAATCAGTGTTGCCCTTTCATTAAATTCTCCTCACACTTTTGAAAGAACTCTTATCTTTTTGCGCTTACAGTCATCATGTTTCCAAACATCCCCAACTCTCTCAGCTTAGCTGCCCTGAACTTCCTGTCCAGTACAAGATCACCAGGGACTGAGCAGTCTGCAGCAGCTGTCCATCTACTAGCTTGGAGAAGGTAAGAGGGATGAGGGGGAGCAAGGAGCAGGAGAGAGGTTTGCTTTGCTGTGTCTTCGTGTTTGTCAAGACACACACAGCTTACTAGCACACACAAGGGTCGCTCCTTTAACGACCCTGCAAGGTAAAGGAGCCACCCCAAAACAGGATATCAGGGACAACACTCAGAGGAGCAGCTGATCCTGCAGGGAGCTAAAACTTTTAAACATTAAGGAGCAGCATCTATTGTGACTGATCAGTGTTTGAAATAGTTTAAAAGTCCTTTTGCCTTTAATAAGCTTTAAGGCAGCCCATCTTTCTTTTTATTAGGGTTACCAATGCACCACAAAGCAGGGAAAATAGGACCTGTGCTGTGCTTCGGAAAAACAGTCCTATACAATGTAAGACCTATAGGCTGAAGAACACTGAAACTAATGCCCAGTGCGGGCCAGACTTTGTTACAACTGCTACAGTCTGTATGTAACTGAATCTTATACCTATCCACAGTCATGGCGATGTCTTATCAGCCACTTGCAACATCACAAAAATGCTTATGATCAAACATACTGCCAGAAATATATATATAATGTGTCTCACTGTGTGGGTGGACTTTAAAATTATCCTAAAAAAAAGAACAGAATGCCATTTTTTTTATAAATCTGTCTTTTGTCCACTGATTCTCAGAAATATTGGCAGTTTATGCATCTTCTTTATTACAATCGAGTAATGAACCGTGTATAAGGGCAGTGAGTATACTCTGAGGTGAATTGATCAAAACTGGAGCAGACAAAATCTGCATCAGATTTGCATGGCAACCAATCAGCTTTTCTCTTCAGTTTGTTCAGTTAAGGCCTCAGTCACACTAGACACAGTGCTTTCCGGCCCGATTCTGGCCAGAACGCACTGCATCGCATTGCGGCCGGCTCACTATGTTATGGGGCAGGAGGGGGTGTGACGGTCCATTGAAGTGAATGGTACCATAGCCACGCCCTCCGGCCGCAATGCGATCGACCGCACGGGAATGCAAGGCACATTATGCCTGCGGTCCGGTCCAGTCCTAACAAAATGCTGCAAAATGCTGCAAGCACTATTTTGTTCGGACCGGACAGCAGGCAAAATGTGCCTTGCGTTCCTGTGCGGCCGATCGCATTGCGCCCCCTCCTGTCCCACAACATAGTGAGCCAGAATCGGGCCGGAACGCACTGTATCTGGTGTGAACAAGGTCTAAGACTTGAAAATGAAAGAAAGAAGCTGATTGGTTGCCATGCACATCTAATCCAGATTATGTCTGCTCCAGTTTTGATCAATTCCCCCCTGTGTGTTTTCTTAGTTTATTCTAATCCTAATCTGAATGTACCATGCAGAAAACAGCATCCCCAGGTCAACAGCTGAGATTCCCACTTTAAAAGGAGATTTGCTACATTTTCTAAAATGCACTAATGTAAATGTAGTTTATATAAAAGAACAGTTTAATACAGATTATATAACCTAATAAAACATTTTACGATTGTGTATATATATATTTATCTTTTTGGTACATTAATATGTTTTTAGTGGTATGCTGGTAGGAATCTATGCACTGATACAAATAAAATAATTACACTTCAGTGATGTCTTGGTCTTTTTTTATGTCCAATAATAAAACGGTGGTGATGATAGGGGATGTACATACTTTTCTCTGGAATTAAATGCGTTTTTCTTTCCCAGCACTATTTGTTTTAAAATCTAGGCGTGCCTATAAAATAGAAGAAAGGAAAAGTATGTATTGCCACGATGAACCACGTTGAACCAATCAGAATTTAAATGAACAGCTGAGCATGCGTTACGGTACACAGTTTGTATTTATGGTGAGGAGCAGTGGTTGCCTAAATTCCCTAAAAGTGGAAATTGGGACGTGTTTTTTCACCTGCGGCTGTCCTTACCGCTCATCAGTGTAACTTTAACACTATTGTTCTGCAGCCAGTATTACTCCTATATCTAACAATAGAGGTCTATTTATAAAGCAGAGAATATGACTTTCACAAACATTCTCTGGTGGAGAATCATTCAAGTCCACCAGAGCAATTGATTCTCCACCAGCGAATGTTTGTGAAAGTCAAATTTTCTACTTTATATGTAGACCCTTATAGAACCAAGGCTGTCCCTATAATGAGGCACTCAGGTGGCATCTTTTTGGGTTACATGGGGGGGGGGGCAGGCATAGCATCAATAATCAAACCTACCAATCAGCTAAATGGACTAATGCACATAGCTGAACTAACTTCGGGCCAACATTAGGAGCCAGTTAGAGTCTGCTGCAGTGCACGGATGCTGAAAGGGAATGCACTTACAGCAGCAGAAAAGAAATATGACCTTATTAACGTGCTTCTGCTCCTTCAATGTCCAACAAGCAGGCTGGGGGTGTGTTTTTGACCAAGCTGCAGCTAGAGGCCTAGGATCTGGCTGTTCTGTCTGGTAGGATTTCCTGGATCACAACTGTGAAATGACTGGTAAATTATTTGGCAGTAAGGCTGGGTTCACACCTAAGCGTATTGAATATGCGCGTTTGTCGCGCGTTTTTACTGCGATTCGCGGTAAAAAAACGTGCGACAAACGCCCGTTTCCGAGGGCTACTTGGCTGTATCCCAATGGAAACACGAGACCAAAACGCCCCAAAGAAGTACATGTACTTCTTTGGGCGTAGGCCGTTTTGTATCGCGTTCGGACGGGCGGAAATATGGCAAGGTGTGAACCAGAACCATTGAATACAATGGGATTTAGATGTTTGAGCGTTTTGTAGAGCGTTCGTCGAGTGTTGAACGCGCTACAAAACGTTCAGGTGTGAACCAGGCCTAAATAAGCATTAAATAAGCTTTTACACTTTGGAAACAGTTCGATTCTTTTGCAAATATACTGTGCATAGAAGAAATATTGGGCAGTTTTAGTCTTATCAATGAGAACAACAACAGTGGCATGATGAGTAGTAGGGAGACTGGTGTGGTACCCGAACTGATCTGGTTTTCAGGGCTCAGGAAGCTTCCTAGGGGGCTCAATGCAGTATTAACTACCCTATGGAGACTGAGCTCTAACACAAAAGTTAGGCAGAGAAGAATGTCACCAGCACACCAAAATCCTTTTAGGATAAGTAATTGTTAATTTTATTGCACAGTTTGTCAGTTGAAAAACAAGTGCTTTTGGGACCTCGCAGGGTCCCTTCATCAGGCTCAACATCATTGTCGACGTTGAGTCTGATGAAGTCCCGAAAGCGCTTGTTTTTCAACTGACAATCTGTTCAATAAAATGAATAATTGATTATCCTAAAAGGATTTTGGTGGGCTGGTGACATTCTTCTCTACCAAACTAGTGTGATAGCGGCGCAATCCGCAGTCATTTCAGCACCCATCCCTATCACTGGGATTTCCGGTAAGGAGTGTGACAAGTTCTTCTTTACAACCTGAGCTCTAACAAGCCTGACAATCATACCTGTTCTTACCCAAACTTTTTTTGGATAGAGCAGTTAATGGTTAAAACTTATGTGAATGTTGACAATGTTGTTTCCAGGACAGGAAGCGAGAAGAAATCTCTCCAACAGGGACAGAACAGCAGGTCAAACTCTGTGTATTGCTGTCTGAATCTGCTGGAGACTTTCCTTTATTTCCTGTTCCACTGCCAACGTCATCACAGGGACTGGAAATAAAAGGAAATCTCCTCAAAGGGGCAATAGACATCAAGCTGACTGTTCCCCCACTCTGTCCAAAAAGAAAAAGAAGAAAAGTAAGTAAGACATTTGCAAAGTATGAGAGATAAAGCAGCAAGATTTAGAAAAGCGTAGAAAGATTTGGTAAATGTATAAAATGAAATGAAAGTGTGGACTATTCCAGGTTACATGCAGACATATGGGACACGGAGCGACCAGTGACAGGTAGTATAACAGGTTTTTCATACATGCTGCTTGCATACCCCTCCCTTGCCTCCCTTGCAGGGATAGGTAAAGCTGACGTAGAACAAACACAGTACAGGTAATGGTGATCCGGCTCATGAAGCAGCAGTTTATGGATGACTGGGGCGTCATATATTGGCCACTGTGCAACGCAGAATCCAGCAAAAAGACTGCCAGCCATGAATGATGATCGCAGAGAAAGTGACTGGCAAGGGCTGGTCAGTGAGGTGAGTACTGCATTTATGTATCAAAGTAATGACGGGGTTACAGTACGGCCAGCACTTCACATGCAAACACAGTTTAGCTAAAACTAAGCAGGACTTGCAGTGTCAGTCCTATATAATCCCTTCTAGGCTTGCTTTGGCCTTGCAGAGTCTAGAAGCAGCAATCACAAAATCCAAACTCAAGGCTGGATATTGTCCGGTCAGCGTTAGGTACACATTAGCTATGGTGCATTTTGGGCCCATTCTATTCTTTGAAGCTGGATGTGATCTACTGACAGGTGGAAGCAAACATACTTACTACTTATACTGCATGCAATTTGTATGTATATACATACAGTACATGTGTAACTATATATATATACAGACATTCCAACATGCAAAACCTTATTTCAGGGAGGTTCCCGTCTCATTTCAGGGAGGTGCCCTTTCTATTTCCTCTGCCATCTGTTGTGGAACTACACATTCCAGCATGCCCTGTCAGAAAGTAGATGGTAGTGTTGCTAAGGGCAACCTTTTGCAAAACAATATTAAAAATATATGATTATGATGGATAAGTGCATTTTAAGGCAAACATTTATTTTGTTTGCACCTTTGCATTTACATAAGTAACCCCCCTCCACAGATGTTTACTTACCTGGATCTGATGGCTGCGGCCTTCAATGTTTGATTACATCCTGGCAGCCGTTCGCGATGGCATCAGAGAGGCCCGGGGGGCAATTGCCACCCTGCCCCCCGGCCCAGTCCGCCCCTGTCCTGGCTGCAGCTGTGCGTTACAGCTCAATACACTACTGTGAGAGAATCCCTTGCCGTCTTCTTTCATCTGAAGCCCCCCAATTCATGCCAGTGTAAATGCCGCAGTCAGCAAACTATTGTAGACATTGAAATCCTCAGTATTTACTTCTATTGCATCTCATGTATTTAAAAAACAACAAGAAATCTACAGACGATAGCATACACATTTACTGATTAATTTTATATTGACTTCTATAAACACATGTCCTGTTCTGCTCCTCTAAATGGCATTGCAGCTGGGACTATACAGCCACTATCGGGAAGGAGATCATTGGTGATTCGTGATGACGGGTATAGTGTATGGTTGCCACTTATTCTTCCAATGAAACCCGAACACTCTAGCGGCGCACGGAAATTTTTTGGGGAGAATGAGTCTAGGCTTATTAATATTTAAATAACGCCAATAACTTTAAAAAAATTGGGGAGAAACTTTAAATTTTTTTCCTATTTTTTTTTCACTTAACTTTATTGTTATCATAGAGGGGGCTAAGAAACCCCTCTATGTGATAGCAAAAGAGGTGACAGGTCCTCTTTATGGAGACATCAGGGGTCTCCAAGACCCCTAATGTCACCTAGGACCCCCCTGAAGAAGCTGATGAAGCAGAGATATGCTCCATCAGCTTCTTTCCAGCTTCTGAAGCTGGAGAGTGACACGAGAATGCGGAAGTGATGTAATATACACCACTTCCGCATTCTGACACCGGAGAGGGGACAGGAGGGAGATCGTGAACCGACCTCCCTCTGATCCCCTGTGACAGGCAGTAAGCTTGACAGCGGGAGGGGGGAAGCCGCGGAGGGGTGCACATCACGGGACCTCATACAAGCGAGCCTGTTTTCAAATAACGAGCATATCCCGTGCGTGCCGCGCAGTGCGCCCGAGTGGGCGGATGTAACAGGACGTGGATACACGCCCAGTTACATCCAAGAAGGTAGTTAATATGTAAATATCACAGTCGAGACAATTCTCGCCCGCACGGGATCGCAGGGCACATTGTGCCTGCGGTCCGGTCAAAATAGTGCTTGCAGCATTTTGACCGCACCGGACCGGACCACAGGCACAATGTGCACTGCGATCCTGTGCGGGCAATCGCATTGCGGCCGGAGGGCGTGGCTACGGTACCATTCACTTCAATGGCCCGCCACGCCCCCTCCAGCCCCACGAAATAGTGAGCAGGCCGCAATGCGATGCATATGGTGTGAACGTACCCTACAGGTAGAGATGCAGCAGCACCAGGACCCGGCTGTCGTTTCTGAATCTGGTTTGTTGTGAAAGTGCCAAAACCAGACACTCTGCATCCTAATTAAAGAGCCAGACAGTGATATAAAACCTAAAGGGCCCATTTACACTGCTGCTTCATGGTAATGCGTTTGCTACTGTAATGCACACGTAACATACACGACACACGTAACATACATGACACACATAACATACATTACTGCTCATTTTCAATGGACTGTCTTAAAGTCATAATAAAGTCAAAACGTGTTTAAACTATTTGAAATGCTGATGGAATCATTTACAATGGATGCTGGTCTTTGATGGTTAAAAGTTTTAGTTTCCTGCAGAATCAGCTGGCCCCCTCAGCACTGGTCCTGATATCCTGTTTTAGGGTGGCTCCTCTCCCTTGCAGGGTCCTATGGAGCCACCCTCGTATTTTAGCGGTGTCCCCACAGACACAGAGAGGCAAGCCATTGCCCTCCTCCCCCTCCTTCCTTGTCGTTTCTCCAAGCAAATAGATGAATGGCTGCTGGAGACTGCTCTGTCCCTTGTGACCGTGTACTGGACAGGAAGTTGGGGAAAGCTGAGCTGAGAGAGTTGGAGCTGTTTGGAAACATGGAGACTGTAAGTGCTTGGCCAAAAATATAAAGAGATAATTTGCTGGTCGATGTTTATTCGTTTGATCTGGACTCAGTACTGGAAAAAAAAAGTTTAAATCTATTTTAATGCGCAACGTAACGCATCATCGCACAGCAAAATGTCTGGGTTCATTTTCCTGAGTTGCGTGCGTTTTTGATGCCCGTCTTTTCTCATGTGTATTGCAACATCGTGCATTGCAGTGAAAAAAGCAATGCATGCACTACCGCCAAGAGGTGTGTTGGAGTGACATTCAATTGAACGGCAACACAACACACCTGACGCATGTTACTGCATGCTAGGTGTTCTGTGTGCTGTGTGACAGCGTGCACAAAAATTACTATTTTTTTTAATAGAATTGTACTGATGTGTGGCCGGCCTTCCACTGACCTGGAACAAGGATGTAGATGAAGAAAGTCATAGGAAGGTCAGAAGTCTTTATCTGCATGGCTGTTCCAGGTCAGAGTATTGAAGCCAGGCATCCCTGACATTGTGCATTACCCATGATGCCCTGTGCAGTCAGTAGATCGCCATGTCTCCTCTACAGTCATCACAATGAACATATAGCAGGAGCTCAGCTGGCAGTAATCAGGCTGATAAGATCATCAGCGCAGTGACTGTCCCTGGTGACGTAATTGGTGCCGAGGAACCCTTCCTGACCGGGAATAACTCCCCCCGCTCGTTCCCTGCTATCCTTTCTTCCATTGGCTACCGGCGGATCCAACCTGGAGCAGGGACGTCGGATGGGTGACAGTGCGCATGCTCGAATCCCGGAATCCAGCGGCTGGGTTGGAGGGGTGCTGCAGGTAGTGACCGGGGCAGCATCATGAGAAGCGGAGGAGGGGGAGAGGCAGATGATGGCCGGGACTGGGAGGTGAGGATGATATGACGGTTCCTGCACTCCTCTACACAGTGCCTGTCTCATGCAGATGGAGGGCTACTCTGGTAATGCTGCAGAAACATGACAGCTGCTGCTGTGCACCATGTATGACCGGGTCATGTACATTACATTCTGCATGGATGCAGCAATCAGCCTGAGTGTCCACTAAACACCAACATGCCATGCATGCTCATAGTCCATCTTCTGAGAACTACTAAAAGAGTGTGTGTTGTGTGACATTCTGTATTATGATTATTGCACAGGATTTATATAATATGCCACCAGAAGAAAGACGGCACAGTTCCTATACAATTCACGACAAGAGGGTTAGGAGGGCCCTGATCATAAGAGCTTACAATCTAATGTCCTAGAAAGATTATTTCTGATATCCTCAGTCTCAGGTATGTAACGGGTACACAGTGCAGTGCTCCAGGGGATGCAATCACAGCACAACATGCAGGGATTCGGACCATGTAATGCAGACCACAGTGGCCCACTGTATAACATATAAAACAATGTGCAGTGGACCAGATTTTGTAAGATGCAGTAAAGTGTACAGAACCCACTTGTCAAGAGTATGTAGTGTACAGAGTGCAGAAGTCCAGGGTATGTAAAATACATCACAGAGTACAATGGTCAGTGGATAAGTCCCCTTTATGTTGGGGTTTATTGGTGATCAGAGGAGAAAGACCCCCCCCTTACATTGTTTGCCAGTGGAGATTTGTACACCCTTAAATTGGTGGTATTGGAGATGTGTACTGTCTTACATTGGTGGTCAGTGGAAGGCATGTCCCCTTATCATGGTGGTTTAAGTGTCGCCTTATCGTGCTGGTCAGTGAAGAAGGGCCCCTTATTTTGGTTGTTAGTGGGAAGAAGACCCCCTTACATTTGTGGTCAGTGGGAAGAAGACCCCCTTACATTTGTGGTCAGTGGGAAGAAGGCCCCCTTACGTTTGTGGTCAGTGGGAAGAAGGCCCCCTTACGTTTGTGGTCAGTGGGAAGAAGGCCCCCTTACGTTTGTGGTCAGTGGGGGGAAGGCCCCCTTACGTTTGTGGTCAGTGGGGGGAAGGCCTCCTTACGTTTGTGGTCAGTGGGAAGAAGGCCCCCTTACGTTTGTGGTCAGTGGGAAGAAGGCCTTCTTACGTTTGTGGTCAGTGGGAAGAAGGCCTTCTTACATTTGTGGACAGTTGGAAGAAGGACGCCTTACGCTTGTGGTCAGTAGGAAGAAGGCCTCCTTACGTTTGGGATCAGGGGAAAGAAGGCCTCCTTACATTTGTGGTGATTTGGCTAGAAGCCCTCCTTACATTTGTGGTCAGTTGGAAGAAGGCCTCCTTACATTTGTGGTGATTGGATCGAAGGCCCCCTTACATTTGTGGTCAGTGGGAAGAAGGCCTCCTTACATTCGTGGTGATTGGCTAGAAGGCATCCTTATGTTTGTGGTCAGTGGGGGGAAGGCCCCCTTATGTTTGTGGTCAGTGGGGGGAAGACCCCCTTACGTTTGTGGTCATTGGGGGAAGGCCCCCTTTTGTTTGTGGTCAGTTGGAAGAAGGCCCCCTTACATTTGTTGTCAGTGGCAAGAGGTTGTAACCCCCTTTATTCTATCCAAAAGTGGAAAAAAAACAATTTTTGGCTTCAGTTCTACTTTGTTTACTTGCTGCAGTTTCCCCAAAAATATTTTTGCACTAACGTTTCACTTTTACCAGATGGACTGCGATGATATTTATCATTTGGTGTTGATAATTTTATACACAGTTTACTCCAATTAAGAACTTTGAATTGCACAAACCCGTAGCCGTCTGAACTCTGACTTCTGTTTGGCTGTCATAGTGCGCTGCATATTATTAGCTTTTATTGTAGATTCTTAAAGTGTATTTAAACCCAAACGCACATCTTTAATATACTGCAGCTTACCAGTCTTTAGATGCAGTGGCTGCTTTAGTTTTAATTTTTCAGGCTAAAAACATGCTCAGCGAGTCTTGTTGATGTTGCCAGAAATGCAATTTCCTTGCCTCTTCCTGTGAATTGAAAAAAACAATACAAAGCACATACAATGTTCTCTTCCTTTTGTAAATTACACATTCCACTATTACCCATTCCCCTAAAGGCAGACAGCCTGAAGTCCAGCCTGTGTGAGAACCATTGCTGCCTCCATAGACTGCAGAGAAGTGAGTACAGCCACAAAGGGACAGGAAGCGTGTTATTTAATGGCTTTTCTTTCCTTCTTTCAGTTCCTCGTGTGTAAAAGGAAGCTTGAGAGCAAGAAAGAAGCTTTACTCATCCTTTCCAAAGAGCTGGACACATGTCAGCAGGAGAGGGACCAGTACAAGCTGATGGCGAACCAGCTACGGGAGAGGCACCAGTCTTTGAAGAAGAAGTATCGAGAGCTCATTGTATGTATTGTCATTTTTCCTTGATTAGAAATCTGTGAATATGTTCTGTATATCTCCTGATACTAATGAAGGAGTGGACAATTCATTTTCTCGAGGAGCCACATGAGAAATTGGGACTACTGTGGAGGGCCGAATTAATTAACGCATGTGCTGAGCAACGGACCAACCGTGCTTTACAGTGCGGCAGGTGCATTGCGTTGCCGTTCATTTGAATGGCACCCCAAATGGACCTCCTGACTGCACTGCGATCAATCGCACCGAAACGTGCGGTACCCCAATGCTAGGGTTGCATCAATATATAGGCCGCTGAAACATATCGGCCGAAAATGGCACTTTTGGCATAATGCGAAAGTGCCATTTTCTGGCGGATAAAGCGGTGCATCCATCCTATTCTCTCCTCTGTCGAGATCCACCCAGCTGCGTGAGTGACAGCTGGCTTTGCCTATCTAAAGGCAGAACCAGCTGTACCCTCCCCCGTCCGTTCTGCCAGTCAGCGCTGGTGGATCAGACAGGGGAGGGGGAAATCCCTGCAGGGAGCCGTGAGTGACAGTCACGGCTCGCTGCAGAGAGATGATCGAAAAGTGAGCAAGTGACGGTATGTGTTCGCTCACTTCCCGATCTATTGAGCCGACCTGTGACAGTCTCATTGTCACAGGTCGGCTAGAACTATGAGGCCGAGTGATTTTCACTCGCCTCCTAGTTCTCCTTTTTAAGCTGTTTTCTTACAGCTTTAAAGTAAATCTGTTACTTTGTCCTACATGGATTTGCCGAAAGGTGGCATTCTAACAGTACAGTCTACATTGTTTGCTCAGCACAGACTTGATGGTAAGCTAGGCTTGGAATGTGATATTGGCTTTTTTGTCAGTTCTGGCTCCACACGGACCTTTGTGTGTCTAAAGCTGGCCATACACCTATAGATTGTCTGTGGTCAGATGGAAAAAGTGCAACAGATTCCTCCATCTACGCTAAACTGTGTGGCTGGAGGAATCTCCCACTGGGCCAAGCTTCAGTATCTTGCTAGTCGGCCCCGCTAGCTCTCAAAATACCTGAACAATCTGATTGGACGCAGGCATTGTTCAGGTGTTTTGAGAGCCAGCAGGGCCGACTAGCAAGATACTGAAGCTTGGCCCAGCGGGAGATTCCTCCATCCACACAGTTTAGCATAGATGGAGGAATCTGTTGCACTTTTTCCATCTGACCAGAGAAAATCTGCAGATTATGGTATGGCCAACTTTTGGCCAAGACTTCATTTGAGCAGTGAACTGTATAAACCAAATTTACCATGTACGGTTTACAAAAGATCCTAATTACTGTATGACTGTGAAGGTTCTCATTTATCCGGGTCATGGTGTAGCTAGTAGTAGTTAGCCACATTTAACTGAATTTGTTCTGCAATGCTCAAGACCTTTCATAGCTCATACAATTGAGTAAAAAAAAAAAACTGGTTTATTTTCCTAAGATTCATCCGAACTGACGAAGTGGCTCGAATAGGCTGTGAAATGTCTTCAACGTTACTGAAAAAATCCAGCTGAATGTGACTCGCTACTAGAAGCTTGAACATAATTCCAGTGGTTCAGTTAAATAAAACTTCTTTTATAGTATAATAAATATACACACATTGTCCACTTTATTAGGTACACCTGTTCAACTGTTTGTTAACGCAAATATCTAATCAGCCAATCACATGGCAGCAACTCGGTGCATTTGGGCATGTAGACATGGTCAAGACAAACCAATGAAGTTCAATTTTAGCATCAGAATGGGAAAGAAAGGTGATTTGAGTGACTTTGAACATAGCATGGTTGTTGGTGCCAGGCAAACTGGTCTGACTATTTCAGGAACTGCTGATCTACTGGGATTTTTGCTGATATCCATCTCTCGGGTTTACAGAGAATTGTCTGAAAAAGAGAAAATATCGAGTGAGCGGCAGAATGGCTAGTGTGTTTCAAGCTGATAAATGCAACAGTAACTCAAATAACCACTTGTTACATCTGAGGTATGCAGAAGAGCATTTCTGAATGCACAACACATCGAGTCTTGAAACTGAGGCTACAAATCACAAGGGCTCACTGAAATTGGACAATAGAAGATTGGCAAAATGTTGCCTGGACCGACGAGTGTCGATTTTTGCTATGACATTCGGATGGTCTGGTCAGAATTTGGCATAAACAAAATGAAAGCATGGATCCATCCTGCCTTGTATCAATGATTTAGGTGGCTGGTGGTGGTGTAATGATATAAGGAAATAGTGCTGCAACAACTAATCCATGATAATCGATAATGAGAATCGTTCTCAACGATTCTCATTATTGATTAGTTGATTTTTGATTAGTTGCTGTGGTCCACTGTTCTCGTCCTCCATTCTGTAAAGGACACTGACAGCTGCAGCCCTGTCAGCTGCTGTGCCTCTGTATTCCCTGTGCCAACATTGCTCCCCAATGCCCCCACTGCGACTCTATTTCTTCCCCCTAGTGCCCCCGCTGTGGCTCCATTGCTCCCCCGTGTCCCTGCTGTGGCTCCATTGTTCCCCCTGCCCCCTCTGTGGCTCAGCTGCTGCCTGTGCCTGCGCCATGGATACACTGCTTCGTGTCCCCCCTCCGTGGCTCAGCTCCTGCCTGTGCCCCAGTCGTGAATCCGCTGCTCCCCGCCCCCCGCCATGGATACACTGCTCCCCCGTGCCCCTCCTCTGCTGGCAGTGGAAAGCTGGCGTTAAATCTACCATCAAGTGGCTGGGAGACATAACCAGCCTACTATTGGATATTTTGAATTGCAGTAGCCAATGGCAGGCTTGCTATTGCACCCTTCCACTGCCAGCTGTCAGTCAGCAGAGGAGGACCTGAAGGAGAACAGGCAGTGGCGGGTGTAATAGCCAGCCGGCTATTGCAATTTGAAATAGCCAATAGCAGGCTGGCTATTGCTCACAGCCACTGCATGCTGTGTTTACAATTCTGCTGCCTCAGCAGGCAGCTGTCATTCCCCAGGGAAGTGGATAGGTGACACTAGGGGTCTGAAAGAACCGAAGGGCTGCTTCACGAGATATTCACAATACCCCTACAGCAGCTGAAGCACACAGTCAATGTGGGGAGTATAGTCTGCTGAAGCAGACCATTCTCCACGCAAGTTGAAAAAAAAACCAGCAAGGGGTCCCCCTTACCAATTCATACCAGACCATTTAGCTCTGGTAGGAACTTTAAGGGGGAACCCCAACGCCCAAAAATAAAAAAAAACAAACGTGGGGTTCCCCCCTAAAATTCCATACCAGGCCCTTAATCCGGGCACTGGCCTGACTGGGCATGAAAGATGGGGAGGGACAAGCATGCACCCCCCCCCTGCACCATACCAGGCCACATGCACTTGACACTGGGAAATATACAGGGGTACAGGTACTCCTAGAATGAGATCCTAATAGGTTGGACTTGATGGACTAATGTCTTTATTCAACCTCAAATACTATGTAACTATGTATTCTTTCAAGTTGCTGGATACAGCGTCTGACAGATTGCGCTATTAGGCCTTATTCACACTGCTAAGAGTCAGCCCGTACAGATCCGTGGGACGTACCCGGCCGTATCGGGCCGTTCCCGGGAAGGATAGGTGCTGCGTGTGATTTGTACGCAGCAGCCTGTTCTTCTCTATGGGAGTACGCAGCTGTGCGCTCACCTGAACTGCACGTCCGTGTGGATGTCCGTACTCCTATACAGACAGGATGGATCCTATCTGCGTCCGAGCACGGACACCCGCACCAGCACGGATGTTTATGGGCCAACTCTGAAGGCCATAACACACTGCACGCAAAGCCGTGCAGAGCGAAGCAAAGCTGTCCGGCACGGAGCTTTGCGTGCTGTGTGTGAGCTGAGTGCAGGCACATGATTGACTGCACCTTCAGCCAATCGGCTCCTGCATAACAACCAGCCAGACGTCGCATCGCAACACTCGGGTTTATACGCGCGAGCCGATTGGCTGAAGATGAAATATTTCATCTCGGCACGCTCAGTTACGCGAGCTCTCGCAAGCTAAGGTGCCGAGGGGAAAATTACATGACACACTGCTCGCGAAGGCAGCGCTCCACGCTGCTTCGCGTGCAGTGTGTCACAGCCTTAAGCAGTGTGAGTGAGGCCTTAGTGTTGCAGGGAAGCCGGGGTCTCAAGTGGGCTGTAAAGGATCTCTGGTGGGCACTGCAGGATGTCAGGCTGAAACCACAATAGACCTTGCAATGCCCATCTGACTTCCTGCAAACCCCACCAGAGACCCCCCAGAGCCCACCATAGACCTTGCACAGAGACTTCAAGGTGGGCTGTGCATGATCTATTATGGGCTGTGGAGGGTCCCTTTCCCTGCACACATGCTGTTCTTCTTACCTGCAGCTCCCCAGTCTGCTTCCATTCTGCATCTTGCTTCCAGCCTGCATCTTACTTGAGCCGCCCGCAGCCTCCGCCGACCGGGACCGTGTCTATCTCGGTCCCATCCCATCTGCAGCCGCGATGCTTCTTGGAGCCGCCATCCCATCTGCAGCCTCCACCGGCCAAGGTCCGTGTCTTTCTGCAGCCGCCGAATCTTCTTGGAGCGGCACCGCAGCCTCCGACGGCCGGGCCACTTCTCCCTCGGTCCCGGCCACGCCTCCTCATACACCCGCCAGCTCACTGCCAGGCCCCGTTAGCAGCCACCTGTTAAGTCAGCCGCCGCTGCTTGTTCTTGTGCGCCCGGCGCCTTGTTCGTCCCCAGCTTTCCTCTTTGCAGGGGGGCGAAAAATGCCGCTCCCCTGGAAAAGTGCCGCTCCAGGCAAACGCCTTGTTTGCCTTGCGGTTAATACGCCCCTGACTGGGAGGGTGCATAACAATGAGGACAAGGACCTCTTCCTCACAACCCTGGCCCGGTGGTTATGGGAGTTTGCAGGCAGTGGTGCTCATGCTGCCCCACCTTGTGAATGAGTAAGTGGTAGTTGTACCCCTACTCATTCACTAGAAAATTAAATAAAAAGTAAATAAACAGACCAGACTTTTGAAAAAATCCTTTAATGGATCAAAAGACACAAAGATAGCTTTTGGCAATTCTTTTATTAGTAAGAAAAAACAAAAAACACCAAACAAAAATGATCCAACAATGTAATCCAACATCAATCATGTCGTCCAGCGATGTAAACCAACGTCAATCACGATGAATGAGAACGCGACTTACCGAAATGAGAAAAAATCCCGCCGGACCCAACCGAACCTGACGACTGCAGCAGCAAAATTAGAGATTTGAAAGCTCCCGGCCAAATGTAAACAGATGGGCGGAACCAGTTGTGACGTTTACGTTTTTACATTCAAGACATGGGTGTCATGAGAATTTGCATACCTGTAAAGGTGCCATGATTTAAAAAAAGGTTGACAAATTCAATTTTGATCCATGCTGTCAGGGTAGTATTCACAATCTGCTGCATGTTGCTTGGAAGCAACATATACCGTTACACTTGTTTTTCCAAAATATTCTCAGAATAAGGATCCGAGTGATTTGTTTTCCTTTTGTATGTAAAACTTTGACTAAGCATAGCTGTTCATTACAAAATTGGTGCTCCCCACCACAGTAGCCTTTTAAAAAGCCATCCCCTTTTAATGCTTTTCTTCCTTTCAGCAGACGTCTGACCAACCGTTGGGGCTTTAACAATACATGATAGCAGGTCACTGACCATTTTCACAGGATATAGCCTGGCACAAGCCTATTATTCCAGCTGACGTCATTGATCTATTAGCAGCTGTAGTGTCAGCTCAATCCTCCTCGCAGCTTGTCTTGCATGACGTGATAAGGGAATACAATAGCTGTCTGATTTTGTAGTGCGGGCTTGAGAACAAGCCTCCTGCATTCTGGAACTGGATAGAGGATAATTATACTGCACTAGGAAACTGTGACAATGGAGAGCAGCAGGGTAGTATGCTGAAAAGTTCAGGAGGAAAGCTGAGATTAGAGAAGTGGGGTAGAACATTCATCTAAATTACTAGTGACTAGTACACTAATACAATAAAAATCCATTTCCCTTTCAGTTAAAAAAAAAAAAAAAGCTGGTAAAAGTTATAAGAAAATACTTCTAAAATAACAGAAAATGCGATACATTACATTTCGGAGCTAGGACCTCGGCACTGGTCGTTTTCCTTTTTGTAGGGTTCTAAGCACCAAGAACAACTAAAAGTTGTCCTGGGACTAAATTGTGCCCTGAGTTTTATAGAACTTTTATCTTTTCTCTACCTGAACCCTACTAAGCTACCTTTTAGCTATACAACTTCCTTCGTACAATAAATAGTAGTTCATGTCTCCTTGTCTGCCCCCATCCAGGGAAATGTTCCACCTTCTGGCACAAACCAGGAATTGGTCCAGTAATGACAATAGAGAATAATAACTGCCCTTATACTCTCCCCATACCAAAATTGGGGTGAGAGGTCTGTGACAGGCACCTGGATCGATGCTGGGGACCTTCAGGGCTGTGGGGCAGGCAATCCCCTTGAGGCTGGCTCACCTGCTCCCTGTCAGGAGAATCGGCGTGTGCCGAGGAGAGCTCCGGCGGCGCCATCTTGGTCGCATGTGAGGAGGCAGCCTTGGAGGCCGCGGGTGCCGCTGTGCTGAAAAAACGGGCCAACTCCCTCGGCGTGGGGCCCGTTTTATGCTGCTTCTTCCCCTTCTTCCTCCGGTCACTCATGGTCGGCGAAGGGGAGAGCGGATGGCTGCTGTCTGCCTGTGTTCAGTGCCCTGTGAGCGGGAGATGAGCTAAAGCACGTCTTACCGCTCCATGCGCCTGGCCACGCCCCCCTAGGTGAGTTTTAAATAAATGCAATACATATTTAAGTTTCACGACAATATCTCCTTAGAGTGAGTGATAATATCAATGTAAGTCATGGGGCCCAAATGGTAGTTCGGCAAAAATAACCTGACCACTATCCAGAGACACATCAAATGATTCCATATAAATCCGTATCTGGCTGATTATTTCTTTTATTTTACTAGAGTGTTTGAAATAATTGTTTTGTTTTTTGTAGGATGGAGATCCTTCACTTCCACCAGAGAAAAGAAAACAGGTACTAATCCCTTTACATGTTACATTCTCTTCAAATGCCACTTTCCGTGTTTAATAGTCAGTTATTATTCCACAGGAGACCGGAGGTATGATTGACTGCCATCAATCCAGTTATATTTTTAAAACATCCTTATGCTCGAAGTATCCTCTCTATATGTCTCTTTTGATTATACAGCATGTTATATGTTACAAACATCCCCAAATAAACAATCTTTAAAGCAAAAACCAGTGAGATACCACCCATGCAGGGGCGTATTTACCGCGAGGCAAACTAGGCGGTACGCAAACGCCTAGCGCCGCGGTTCAGAGATAATCAACTGGACACCGCCGCAAGGGGGGGGGAGCAGCAGGGGGCTGTCTTGCCTGGGGCAGCACAAAGTGTAAATACGCCGCTGCACCCATGCTTTGTTCTTTTACTGTATTTTTTTTCTTAAAGGTCTCCTCCTCAGGTAAGAAATGGACCTCCTGGTTCATGCCATTACAGGCCTACCTGTAATGAAAACGGCCTTGACCAGAAGTAATCTTCTCTCTTTGAGATGGCGATTCGTATACATTATCTGTAGTCTCCCTACTTGCTTCAGTTAAAGGAGAACTATGAGGTGAGTGCTGGGTACAGCTGGCTCTGCCTCTAGATATATAGCAGCTACAGCTCGCGGTATACTGAGCTTAGGGTGACGGGAGGACGCTAGTTTGTGTCCTCCCGTTACCCTAAGGAGAACTAAGGGGAAAAGCTCCTTTTTTAAGTCTTTTTCCTGTGCCTATGTGGACCAGAAGCAGCTGTTTTGTTCTGATGGTGATATATGATATTTATGCCCCTCTTTCAGGGAGTTTGTACTTGCTTGTACTTCTTTATTTGCACATGCTGATGGGACACTGAGTCCCAAGCATCTTTGTCCAAGGTCAGTGTTGTCATCATCTAATTCTGCTTGGGCAGCCCGTTCTCCCCGCTTCGGCTGTGACTTTGGCTCAGCCGAAGCATATGCGTTCGGCTCGACTGAGCCGTTCGGCTGCTGTATGGGCTATTGTGAATAGCCGTATAGCAGCCCTTTGGTTCCACTGAACCAAAGGGCTCTGGCGGCCGAAGGATTAGCCGATGCTTCGGCTTAATCCTGCAGCTCCTTCGTGAATAACACTCAGTATTCTGAGGAGACACTGTATTTTCCTCAGAGATACTTTGCATCACTTTGTAGCACACTGATATGGCTTGCTCAGCTCAATGTGATAAGCTTCAAGCCGGAGCAGTGGCTGTAATAGCACTGTGATTACTGCGATTGGCTATCACAGTGATCACAGTGCTGGGGTCCCCTAAATTGCTGTTGAGGGTCTGTCTCGTACACCGAGAGACCCAGCAACAGCATTAACCCCATGAGCGCTGGCTCATACATGGACCAGCACTCATTTTCCCGCATGACGGAATTATTCCATCACCAGCTGAAAAGGGGTAAGCTAAAAAGCCAATCAATGGTGTCACCTCTTGTTTTGGAGCCTCTATTATATGTATTAGCCCAATAACAAGAGACTGAAAATGTAATGAAAGGGAACTTGTCAGCAAAGACATATAGGAGCAGGAGAAGTTCCGTTGCTGTCATTCTTATTCTGGCATAACAATTTCCGTAGTTATTGACCCGGAATAAGTATGAGCCTATCTGGTGCCCCAAGAACTAATATGCACATGCGTGTTCAGGGTCATGTCATGTCAAGTAGCCAAGAAAGGATAAGAGTGGCAACAAGCACTTTCAAAAACATGGCGGCAATCACAGCTCCCATATGTCTTTAGCAGCCAGCGGGTACTTTAAGCAATCTAAAACTGAAGTAAAGATCAGGCTTTTGTATTCTGTCACTTTGCTCTAATGAACAAAAATGCCAATTTCAAAATTCATTTATCCCACCCCCGACCCAGTTATACTTCCCTTCCCCATGCTTCGGAGCTCAGAGTCAGAACCTACTATGTGTAAGCACCAAAAGAGGATATCATTGATGGAGCGAGGTAAAAAGGAGAATAAGTGAGTTGGATGGTGGGCTTTAAAGAGACTCTGTCACATTGACCTGAATGCGCCATATGACAGAGTCACTATCCTACATATGTAAGTCCTCGTATGGCTGTGTGTAATGTAGCAAGCCATTTCATAGTGCGGACCATCCGTGTATCAGCCGTTCAGCTCAAAGGATTAACTTTTCCAAATTTGCAGGTGAATCTGGCGGAACTGCTGGGTGAGGCACGGGAAAGAAGCAAAAAGCTGGAGCACGAGATAAAGGAGCTGCAGCAGAGACTGGGAGAAGTACAAGGAGACAATAAGGTGATTAATTATCTGCTGTTAATGGACACAGCTTTGTGTGGTTTGATTTACTGTAACTCCGGTTGCCTGTTCATTCTCTCACTTTAAAGAGCTAAGCCTCTTTCCACAAATCCAGGTTCTCCGGGGATCAGAGTACAAACACAAGCATCCCTGTGAATTATTTTGGCCATTGGCTCTATTGCAGCCTCATTTATCTGGTGACTGTGTTATGTATTCAGCAGTGACAGTTTATTAAAGATATCTGCAGAAATTTAATTTGGACATAGCTTGTATAAATAGCATCCGGCTGATTAATGGCAATGTTTGTAAGCCGCTTATTGGTGGGAAGTTTCTCCTTGTACATTATAGTACGCAGGTATTAGGTAGAAGTAGGCGCTTTCAGTAAAAGGAACCTGGGAGGAAGAGTGGGCTTGTTAGCATAATACTGTGCGGGGATTTTAGATTATTTGGGTTCAAAGCTAAAGTCTGGGCTAAACATATATTTAAACTCGAGCCATGTGTATTCTTGCGTGAATCTTGGTTTCCTCTTGTGTATCTCTCTTTCATGTTGGTGCAATAAAAGAACTCATGTGCATTGTCTCTGTATGGAATTTACTGTAATGCAGACCAGTCACTTCTGCTCTCTCTCTTTGTGCAGGGTAACTAGTCTTGTATCTGCACCTCTCCTATATTTGTCTGCAGACAGCCTGTAGTGCAGGGGTGGGCAACTCCGGCCCTCCAGCTGTGCTTTGACTACACATCCCAACATGTCTCTGCCTCTGGGAATCATGCCTGTAACTGTCAATCCTGCAATGCCTCATAGGACTTGTTCCACAACAGCTGGAGGGCCGGAGTTGCCCACCCCTGCTTTAATGGAAGGGCTTGCCGGGGAAACCAACTTCTTTGCTTTATGCCCAGGCTGTGTACCAGTGACAATGTCAGCGCTATCGCACAATGTAATATCTGGGTTTGCAAAGGTATTTGATCAACAAAAAAGGAATGTACATCCTTTTGTAGTTATTGAGGAATATATGAACTGAGGAAAGCGTTTGTGATCTAAAAACTTATGGTTCTACTTATAGTTTTTTTTTTCTTTAATAACTTAGGATTTTGTGCTTTTGTAATTCAGTTGCTGAGAATGACCATAGCCAAACAGAGAGTGGGGGACGATGAAGTCGGCATTCGTCATTTTGCACCCCATGAACGAGAAGATCTTGTTCTGCAACTGGAGAAGACAAGAGAGCAGGTAATTTAATTTTAACATTTTAATTAGGGATGTTCAGATACCAAGTACAAGTACAGATACTTTTCCAGCTCCAAGACTAGACTAGAGAAAAACTCAAAAGTTAGGAGGCAGCTGCCATTTTCAAGTAGCATTGGCTACAGGGCTCCTGGGATTTGAGCATCCTTGTTTTAATGTATGATTCGTAATATATAATTTTAGGAATGCACCGATACCATTTTTTTCCAGAACAAGTACTTTTACTTGTCCATATACTCACAGGTACAAGTACTGATACATTTATGTTTAGTGTCATGTGACGGTTTTCCTAAAACAATACAGACTAATGATTTCAGGACAGTGGTGGAGCGCCAGGACCCTGTCGCAGCCGCTGCCACCCTTGTAGTTCTCATGAAAATGCCAAGTATCTGCACTGCTATCTGAACTGGTATCTGAACATGCCTAATTTTAATGGTAAATGTTTTAGTGCATTTTGACAGCTTTATACTCTTCCTTGTCAGTGTGTACTTTTAAAGTGAACCTGTGGTTAGGCTATGAACATTCATCCTCAAAGTACACAGCAGAAGCTCTAAAGTCCTTATCTCTCAGCAACCCGACTCATGTTGCTCCCCCCTTCCTAGCAGAGATTCAGCAGTCTTCCAGCCTTCTAATCTCCAATGTAAACACAGAGCAGGTGCTCTAGGATGGGCATCAGGGAGAGAGAACAACTTCAGCTCTTCTGATGTAAATTTTGAGAATGAATTACCCCGCAGTGTCTAGAGCCACAGAGGTGAGTGAAGACTTGTTATTAATCTCCTGTACTTCTAGTCTGTGTCCCAATTTGGGGAGATTAACCCACACTATTTGTCCTGGTTTCCATTATTGCTGGAAAGGAAAGTGATGGGAAATTCAGACTTTTACATTTGCCACCAGACAACTGGGACACCTGATGTCAAATGTAGGATTTCCCCTCCCTTTGGTGAGAGATCGCCACTTTCTGCGGTTTTCTAATTAGGGTAAATCTCCCCACTAGGACACTGATGGACTATGAGCCTATAGAAAAGAATCACCGGAAGACGGACACAGTTTTTTGTTTTATCCAGCTGTATTTACTCAGTGCAACTTATAACATCCAAGTGAAACACCAACATGTCAGAAAAAACTGAATCACTGAGTTGGAAAAAGGATCACCCCTTGTGTCAGTATTTTGTTAAACCGCCTTTGCTTTAATTACAGCCTTTAGTCTGTTAGGATATTTCTCTACTAACTTTGCACATCTAGGCTTTGCAATATTTGCCCACTCTTCTTTGCAGAACTGCTCAAGTTCAGTTAAATTGGATGTTTCTTCCTATGCATGGGGCTTTTTTCCCATACACGCCACATTTGTGGAGAATTTGGGATATTGCTGTCACATGCACACAATGACCACTCCTTGTCATACATTCCTGCAACTGCTTCAGAGTTGCTGTAGGCCTCTTGGTAGCCTCTCTGACCAGTTTCCTCCTGGCTCGTACATCCAGTTTGGCGCAACGTCCTGATCCAGGGAGGTTCTGTGTTGTACCAAATACCTTCCACTTCTTAATAATAGACTTCACTTTACTTCTAGGCATTGATAAAGCCTTTGAATTTTGTATCCATCTCCTCACTTGTGCCTGTCCACAACTTTATCCCGGAATTCTTTTGACTCGCCACCCATAGTCGATTCTGTTTGCTTCAGTTGCACTACCAGGGACTGAAATGCTCCAGGAAAGCTCTTTTCATGCCGAGCTAATCAAAATGACCACTGCTGATCACAGTTGAAAGTCAAATGGCTCTGCCATTGAGAAGTTTATTAGCTACACCTGATTGAGTTTACAAGTCATTTTTAGGAGGGGGTGATAATTTTTACAACTCTGGGATTCTGTTTTTGAATTTTTTTTATTTTTTTCTGACATGTTAGTGTTATATCTCCCACTTGGATGTTATAAGTTGCACAATAAATACAGCTGGATAAAACAAAAACTGTGTCTGTCTTCATTCCAGGCTGCAAAGCAACAAAATGTGATCATTTTAAAGGGGGGTGATTCTTTTCCATACCCACTGTATATGTATTATATGCATAGATGGGATGACCTGGAGGACAGGATTTGGGAAAATGTGGGTACAAGGAAGTGAAGAGTAGACTATCCAGATCTCATGAGGGTGCCAATGCTGAACCTGAGTAGTATGTTTGTTTATATTTCTTGTTTAAAGGATAAGGATAGTGCACTGAATGCGTAAAAATCAACCAAAAGCAATGTTCTGACCTTTTGTCAGGCTTTTATTGCTGTCTGTGTCTCCCTCCCTTCATGTTTTGCTGACCACCGCTACAGGGACAGGCTTTCTTTTTGTCTAATACAACAAAAACATTTATGTATTGCACATTGAAGTTTACATAGCTCTAGATAACAGTGAAAAACAGTCTAGAACAAACTTTTCTTGCTGGCTGTGTCCCATTGGGGAGATTTTCTTTTATTTCTTGTTCTATAGATGCAACAGAAGGTTAGTGGAAATCTCTCCAAAGTAAGCAACAGGTGTTCCCATTGAAAGATCCCACCTTACCATTGGGTGATAGGAAACCCAACATTTTAAATTTTTGGTCTCGTAGACAATGGTCACCAGGAAAAATAGAAAAGGTTAATCTCCCCATTGGGTAAACACAATAATAAAAACCTGATGGATGTTTAACCCTTCCACACCCTACGTTTGCATTTTTGAAGATGATACTTTTAGGGCTGCAACAACTAATCGACATAATCGATTATAATCGATTATTGAGAAAGTTGTCAACTTTTTCAATCATCGATTTAATTGGCTTCCGATTGGTTGGCCCTGTTCACGGCTTCACACACGCTGCGCGCCACACCTCCTCCCCACAACACGCTCGCCGCTGCCAGACCCGCCTGGCCGCATCCACGCTCCACATGCCTCACGCTCCCCGTCCGCCAACATCCACGGCACAGGGACGCGGGGAGAAGAAGTAAGGAGGAGCAGGTGTGACGGATGACAGCCGCCGATAGAAAATCCCAGCAATAGTACATTATAGTATAATGTTGTACTATTGCTGGCATTTGTTGTATTCCTCTATAACTGGTCAGTGGTATTCTGCATTTCGCTGTATAATCATTATACAGCGCACTGCAGAATACCACCAGCTATAGAGGACTACAAATCCCAGCAATAATACATTATACAGCTCAATGCAGAACACCACCAGCTATAGAGGAGTACAACAAATCCCAGCAATAGTACATTATACAGTGGTGCAATGCCAAATACCACTAGCTATAGAGGACTACAAAACCCAGCAATGGTACATTATACAGCACAATGCAGAATACCACCAGCCATAGGGGACTACAAAACCCAGCAATAGTACATTATAGCTGGCGGTATTCTGCATTGTGCTGTATAATGTACTATTGCTGGGTTTTGGAGTCCTCTATGGCTGGTGGTATTCTGCATTCATTGCTGTATAATTTTATATATTTCATTTCACTATATTGCACACCACACTTTTTTTTTTTCTTTTTTACTTCCACCGCTCAACGCTTGCTCCTGTGATGGACTACAATCTCAATACAAACTATTAGTTCCATCACTGGAGCCATTATTTAACATTTTATTTTTTATCCGATTAACCGAACTTAATAATCGGCTATCTAATCGATTTTCAAAATAATCGTTAGCTGCAGCTCTAGATACTTTTTCTTAGAGCTTAATAAGAGCTAAGCAGATTGCATCTACTGTATCTGATGCACAAAACCAATGACTAAATATTTGATGGTATTTCCTGTTAGTTAACTTCATCTTTTGGTAACATTATTGTAGTCCCTGTTGCCATTATTCTGTGCCATTTTGCACTTGCTTTTGTTGGATTTACCTGATCCACATACCTTTTTACCTTTTCTAGTTTGAAGGTCTTGAACACGACCTGCGAGCCGCACTGGACGAGCTCCAAGATGTGAAGCAGGAGCGCTCGTGCTTCCAAGATAAAGCGGACAGGTTGAACCAAGAACTTAACCATGTTCTAGGTGGTCACGAGAAAAGAATCATAGATGTGGATGCACTGTGCATGGAGAACAGGTGGGTCTGTGCTTTGTGGGGTCTCCGACATCCAGGGCTGTGTATTGCAAGGCGAGTTGAAGGCAAATGTATGTTTTGTCTTTGTGTTGAGGCAGCAACATGGAGATGAAAACTCAAAACTAAGATCGTATGGCTGACCATATGCTCCATTTATATCAACATATGCTTTGTGGGAGTTAATGTTGTCGCAGGCAATGGGCTGTTAAGCCACATTTATTGCATGTCTGGTTTGTTTTTGTTCTTTCTATCTTGTACTCACATCATTATCTACTTCTTAATTAAGTGCTCTATTCCCATTCAATCTACTTATTTATTCATTGCAATTTAAAGACAAATATCTCTGTAACAGCCCTGAAAAAGTATGCTGGCTAGGAGTTCTGATGTTCTTCTCCCTTTCCTAGCTGCATGCTTGTTCTGGGACTCCTCAAGTATTAATTCAACAGACAGCCAGACATGTAGCATTTTCAAGAGGAGGTTGGCACTGTAGTCTCCATACAGGTTTTTGTTGTTGTTTTACTTTAAGTTTGGCCATATATTCTTTAGCATGTTTTAGTCAAGCAGATCATTAAAGATACTTGCATAGAAATAAGAAAGCTGTCAACGCTGTATTGGTATTTTGAAGGTGTATGCTTCATCCTTATCCTTCAGTACATGTCAAACATCCCAAATCTTGATATGTGCATGGTTGACCAGGTTAGATTTTGAAACGTTGCTTTATGCTTGTAATGCCATGTGTATCTGACGTCAGTAAAAGGATGGATTGATGCACGGGACCATGGTGTGTGGGTGACTACTTTTTTTTTTTTTTATACTTGGATCTGTGCAGCGCCATCCACTTCTCATCCAGCACCCTTCTAGTATATTACTTTAGGGATTCCGGTCTGGAATGCCATGGGGCATTTGCAAATCACTAAATTACTGGTCCTCTTTCCAGGGTACTGGAACAGGTGAAAGAAGCAACTCCAATTAAAGAGATCCCTAAAGAGACATGGTTACTTTGCCCCCCCTGCAAGGTATCCTCACTCCGTCAGAGCCCGTGCTATGTTGACCCCTCCCTATGTGATAGTGTTATGGCTTGAATGGCAGTCTACAGGCCTGAACACTAGTGTGGTAGAGGCAGTGATATTCTGACAGCAAAAGTGATCTAGAGTGAAAAACTGTAATGGTAAGGGAGTAAGAGAATGTAGATCAGTGAGTATATCTTGTTGTGGAGGGGAGCTGTCAGAAGACACTGTCACGTTGCCCTGGATGGGCAAGTGAGAGTGTCTCTTTGAATCTAAAGCAAATTTTGTGTACATTTTTTTTCTTATTATAAATATATATGGTTTGTGTGGACATGTGTTGACGTTTCATACCAGAATATACAGAATTCTTTTTTGCTGTCCATGTCAGATTTGGGAGATTTCACTCCCAGTCCTGTTGACCCACAAGAAATTGGGAGGAAATCTCTCCAGAGTGACAACTATCTCGATGTTAAATAGGTGTTTCTGTTGGACAATTCCCTCTCTATACGTTATCTGGTGACCACTGTAACATTCAGGATCTTTCATCACTTTCTGTCTCTGTGACAATGGTCACCAGGATAAGGAAGGAGAGTAAACCTCACCAATGGGTACACATAAAGTCAAGCCTGACTTGCTCTAAAACGTCCCCACGCTATTGAAATCCCCCCCCCCCATGAAATAAATGCTGTGTGATGCTTACCAGTGAGGGGTACTTGTTTTTCCTCTGGGAAATTATTGCATAGCAGGATGGATGAGCTCAAGAAAATATTTGTTCACCAAATGTTTATTTTATCTTCGGTTAGGATTAGCCTCTTAACTTTGTTTCTTGTTTAACTAGGAAGTCTGGACTGAGAGAAATATGAAGGCTGCCATTACTGACCTCCTTAAAATACTAGTTATTTGGCTATTGCTGGATTCAGTAGTTTGTGAGTCATTGATCTAGAACAAGTATACAGATGAGGAAGTTCAGGGTGAAGTCAGAACTCCTAATTTGTGCAACACTTTATGATTGGTGACCCAGAAAGTACTGAAACCATTGTATCAGCATGACAGCAAGGGATGTGGCTATTTTAGAAGTAGAGGGTCAAGAATGGTATTTAAAATGCTCCTTTACATCAACCAAGTAGTCATTTAAGCTTTGGGGGCCTTTAATCCCTCAACTTACTCAAAGCAAACAGCTAAGTAAATAATTCAAATGCATATATGCGAGCTCTTACCTGCCAAATATGGTATTCAGTCCAGTCAGTCTTGTGAGGTAAACACTCCTTCCACACTGTGGAGCCTGGAGAGTGACATTGATATTTACTAGGGATGGTCAGATACCAAGTACTGTACTTGGTACAAGTACTGATACTTTTTCAGCTCCAGGACTAGAGAAAAACTCAAAAGTTAGGAGGAAGCTGTCATTTTTAAGGACCATTGGCTATGGGGCTCCTGGGATTTTTGCATCCCTGTTTTAATGTATTATTTGTTATATATTTATTAGGGATGCACCGATATCAAGTACTAGTACTCGCCCAAATGCTCGGATACTTATCCTGATGCATCTATGATGCTTCCTATTTCACTCTCCTATGCCAGGCTTACTCATCAGTCTGTTAATTAACATTCCTGCATCCTGGTTAGTATGAACTAGGGCCTGATTGGCTCATTGCACATATCAAGTCGCATGCCAATTTCTAGTCTAGTGATGCCTCAACCCAGATCAATGCTGTGCTGTGTACATGCATGTGTATGACTATAGCCGTTGGATGTAAGCTAATTAAGGAGAGTTAATAATGTGAAGAATTTTCAGGTGAGCACTGTGGAAAAGTGTCCGCTTTATATAAATGGGTTAATGAAACATATACTGTTGATATATATGAATATCACAGCCTTGTCTTGTATGAATTGAGCAGGCTTTTAATTGGTTAAAGAAGTTGGTACAATAAACTGCACCTAAAGATTCATTGACAGCCTAAATTCTGTAATGTACGTTGGCACATTTCTTCAGTCACCTTTTAGACATAACACTTCAATTATTTTTGTTTTAATACTTTCTTTGTCCCAGTGACAGTGGGCTCAATGAGAGCATGTGGGGGAAATCTTTCCAATGGGTACACAGACGGCAATAAAAGGGTAAAAGTACCTCTGTTATGTGATGTCTGTGATGCCTATTGCAGAGATTTCTGTTAAATTCATGTCTCAGTTATGATGGTTATTAAAACAGGAAGTCTGTGGAAAACTTCCTAGTGGAGACGCCAAAAGAAAGTTAAAACAAGATAGAGTCTCAAACCCTTGCCCACTTTATCCAAAACAAAAAAGGGCTTTGGCTCGAGTTCCACTTTAAAGCTTGTGGAAGGATGTGAGTTACCCTGAGTGCTGTCCAGGAAGAATGGTTTCCTGTGCCATCAGGGCTTTCTATTCTGCAAACTGTCAAAATCAGTTCTAAAACTCTTTCAGACATCTGATACGGTTTTTGAAACTCCTAATTACATTTGACAACCTTCACTGTCCTAGACATGAACTTCAAGCTTTATTCTTTCCCAATATATTTATAACTCGCCGAAGTGGAGTCCATTAACATCCAATCTTCCATGCAAACAGCTGCAACCTTTCTGGCCTTGAGATATAGAGCAGACTGATTTCTCAGAGGGCGGATAATGAAATGCTGGAATAAACGTTTTCTACTGCACTGATGACTTTCAAAAATATTATATAGGACTCAAAGTGAACCTGTGGCCTTCTTATTGGTAATAATCCAGTGCTGGGACATTAACTTAGTTGCATGGTGCTGTCTGCCCTCCCTGCTCTTCTATTCACCAAATGTCCTGGTACCTTGAAATTCAGGGAGGTTTATTATGAGAAACAGGAATTGCAGCTCGCTGGGTCTTACTGTGGCTCTGCCATTCCCGCTTTTTGGAAGGGCCTCATGCCACCCCTATCTAGCACACGCTGCCTCACACTGTCTTTGTGTCACTTGCATATTAAAACGCAGGCTCCTGCCTCTTTGCTGCATGCAGTGCCTCAGGCTCTCCTAGTCTCCTGGCTCTCTTTCTCACACAGTGGCTATTGTCTCTATTACACACAAGTTCTTATTATTTTCTTATGCTCATTTCTGTTACACCTCTTTCACTGTTAATCGCAGTGCCTCAGGCCTTTTTTTTGGTATTGGTAGTGCCTCATGCCTCTTACTTTAGTATTTCCAAGTAGTACCTCTCTGTTCTCTATCATACACAGTAACTTTCACCTTTCTGTTACAAACAGTTCCTATCCCCACTCTATTGCACACATTCTATTGTTCCTGTCTATTACACCCATTCTATTATGCCTCTCCACTACACACAGTGCTTCATGCCTTCCCCGGTGCAGAAAGTTTGTAACACTTCTACTAAACATATTCCCTAAAGCAAATATATCGCATACAGTGTCTCAAGCCCCGATACACTGCACTACCTCATACCTTGTTGTCGCCTTTGCCATTTGCTTCATGCTTTTCCATTACACACACGAAAATACTCAAGTCTTCTGTTGCACTCGGTGCGGCATGCCTTTCTGTTGCACTCGGTGCGGCATGCCTTTCTGTTGCACTCGGTGCGGCATGCCTTTCTGTTGCACTCGGTGCGGCATGCCTTTCTGTTGCACTCGGTGCGGCATGCCTTTCTGTTGCACTCGGTGCGGCATGCCTTTCTGTTGCACTCGGTGCGGCATGCCTTTCTGTTGCACTCGGTGCGGCATGCCTTTCTGTTGCACTCGGTGCGGCATGCCTTTCTGTTGCACTCGGTGCGGCATGCCTTTCTGTTGCACTCGGTGCGGCATGCCTTTCTGTTGCACTCGGTGCGGCATGCCTTTCTGTTGCACTCGGTGCGGCATGCCTTTCTGTTGCACTCGGTGCGGCATGCCTTTCTGTTGCACTCGGTGCGGCATGCCTTTCTGTTGCACTCGGTGCGGCATGCCTTTCTGTTGCACTCGGTGCGGCATGCCTTTCTGTTGCACTCGGTGCGGCATGCCTTTCTGTTGCACTCGGTGCGGCATGCCTTTCTGTTGCACTCGGTGCGGCATGCCTTTCTGTTGCACTCGGTGCGGCATGCCTTTCTGTTGCACTCGGTGCGGCATGCCTTTCTGTTGCACTCGGTGCGGCATGCCTTTCTGTTGCACTCGGTGCGGCATGCCTTTCTGTTGCACTCGGTGCCGCATGCCTTTCTGTTGCACTCGGTGCCGCATGCCTTTCTGTTGCACTCGGTGCCGCATGCCTTTCTGTTGCACTCGGTGCCGCATGCCTTTCTGTTGCACTCGGTGCCGCATGCCTTTCTGTTGCACTCGGTGCCGCATGCCTTTCTGTTGCACTCGGTGCCGCATGCCTTTCTGTTGCACTCAGTGCCACATGCCTCTACTACACACACATTGCTTCATGCTTCTCTATTACAGTCTATTACACTCAGTGCCTCATGCCTCTATGTGAAATTTATGTAATTCAGTACAGTTTCTACAGGATTTCCTTAGCTGGAGTAACATCACCATAGCAACCAAAAAGCTAGTCAGCCCTTGCTCCAGTATCTCTTGCAGATCGAATTTGGTGTAATGCACTTTCAGAATGATTCTATAGACCATGCAAATGGAAAGATGGATGTGCAGCGAAAATCGCCCATACTAACCATTCAGATTGCAGGTTCCTCGAGTGACTTGACTGGTTGTCATGGATGACTACACATACACATCATCATTGCACTGTGCTACCTAATTACTTCTCTTCACTTCATCTTTCATCATTGTGGCATCAGGAAACAGAAGTGCAGAAATAACTCCATCGCCATGCAGCTTTTCAATGCACCCGTTCAAGGAACTCTCACACATTTGCTAGTCTAGACTTAAATTCCATCCTCGTCCCTCAGATTGCTGATTGTTCCATCACATTCTTGTGTTCTTGTCTCCCTGAACATCACTAGGAGATTTCAATTTGTTTTTCTCCAGGTATTTACAGGAGAGACTGAAACAACTGCAGGCGGAAGTTAACCTGCAGAAAAGCAACATTGTCAAATACAAGGTAAATGAAGTGTGTGGGTGGGCTGAGAAATGAATTCCTAAATTGTTGTTGTTGAATAAACGTGAACTTTGTGCGTCTACAGAATCCTTTTCTCATTTTATATTACCAGCGAGCCAGATGGGGAAGGAAGGATTGTTGTCTCTAGGAGGAAGTAGTGGACACACCTGGATGACAGATTTTATTATTTGGATGCAAGTTGCATAATAAATTGATGCGATGAGCATATATGCGTCTGTTTAATAAGTCCTCCTTAGCATTTCTTAGTTCTGAAATCGATTTAAAGCAGAATTCCAGGGAAAACTATTAATAACTCTTGCAGTGAGTTACCCACGCTGCAAGGATTAACTGCTCGTTTTGGTTTAGGGAGGGAAATATACTCATCCGATCCTCGTAGCCGGCTGGCTGTGACGACGCTCCATCCAGCCTTTCCTTCCACGCTGCAGCAATGGTATGTCCCTCAGCAACCTCACATTCTATACACTGTGTATAGAACACGATGATTTATAACCGCTGCAGAGGATGGGGTGAGAGCTTCAAGATCCAGTCTAAGAGCAAGCCGGCTCAGGGGATCAGGTGAGTATGCCTTTCTTATTTTCCTACCTAGACACAAATAAGGTCAGCAGGAAAACAGGGTGAATCTCCCCAGCAATAACAAAACAACTGACAGCCGTTCCAGCCCTTTCTTGCTCTATCATAACCCCCCACAAATATTTTGGCTAGTGATACATGAGATTTTTAGACAACCAGTCAACTAGTCAATGTTAGGGCAGAACGGAGAGTGGCAAGACTGGTACAAGACAACAGAAGGGCAACAGTGCAGTGTCAGATTCCTCGCATCACCTTTCAACATCTCGTGGAGTCACGAGGCGGCCCAATGAAGTCATCTCGTGGAGTCATCTCGTGGCCCAACGAAGTACTGATGGGGTGGTCATAATAATCTGGCCACTCAGTGTATATGTTAAACTATGTACCATGACGTTGCCTCTTTATTAATAACCTCTACTATACCCAAAATGCCTCACTTGGTATAACAAACCTGTCAGAACCACATCTTATTAACACACTAGTATAATTAATACACCTGGATGATTCTTCTATTAGTGCAATGAGAAGGAAAGGGATCAACATTCTTGAATTGGGGTTAGACCTCCCCAAGGTCCGTAGGCCCAGTAGCAGTTGCTGCCTCCTGTTGCTGCGCTACTGTCTGTACAGAAATGTTTGTACAAATGTGCTTATTTTAATGCAAAGTTTGTGTTGTACAATCTTTTTTTTTTATTTTATTTTAGAATGCTCTGGAGAGAAGGAAGAATTCCAAGTCAAATAGCAAGTCAAACAGCAGTGCTCTGACAGGGGTGCTTTCTGCCAAACAAGGTACCTGCCGAACCGGAATATTATCACCATGATACCAGAAACGATGCCATGTAATTACAAAGGTGTTTTTGTATGCCATACACAACAGTGTCACTTTCTTTTCGTGTAAGACGAAAGTCAGGTTGAGTTGAAATAGCATTTTTTAACTTGGAAGAGTACTTATTCTGAATTGTTGTAGGATTTATACACGAGCACCAAAAGGAAGCACACAATGTGTGATGCAGATTATTTGATGGCTTACTACACATAAGCACTCAGTGAAACATTTTCTTTATGTTCCTGTGTGTCTCAGAATGTGTGCTTTCATTTGGAGGACAACATTGGAGCATTGGCAGGTACACCATTAGCACTGGGGTGAATCTACATGCTGAATTCACATAATGGGCATGTAAAAAATAAAGGAATATCCTGTGATTTAAACCTTCACATTTGGTGACATAAATGGTCTTTACCTCCAGCAGCATTTTTCTAAACAACTAAGGGATGGCTTTTGGCTGTGTACAGTGTTAGGCAAACTGAAATCGAAGCATATTATGACCATGTACAACAGATCAATGACTGCTAGAGGCAGAGCCTCACCTGCCATTATGGAAGAAAACCTGTCAACGTTAAGTCTGAATCTAACAGCAGTTTCTCTATTCAGACTGGCTTCTAACAGGTTACACAGTGTGGAAAGCCTCCCTGCTGTGTAACCTGTCATGGGCAGAATGCTATCTGTTAATTACAGGTGGCGATTAATCTGGCTTTTCAGGGTTCCCCGCTGCTGTGTAACGTACCACAGTGAGGTCAGAGGCTTGAGCTCTGTGGATGGTTTGGACCAATGGAAAAGCACCATTGGTCCAAGCTGTCCAATTAAAAAAAAACAACAACAAAAAACCCACTGACAGCACCCATCTAGATAAATAATAATAGGTGTGTACTTATTTGCACAAGTTGAATCAAAAGAGGTTTTGTTTATTTTATTTATTTATGCACAACTTATTGTCTTATCAATAACCTTTAGATTAGACCCATTTAACTAGTTACTATTTGGACCCATAGCGCTGCATACCTATTATTATTTATAAGCTTGACCACATGGTCTATATTGCAGCAGCTGTAATAACATCCATTAGTTCTCTAAGACTACCCATAAGCGCAGATTTGATATTATACTCTAAAGTCTAAAGCATCCATCTAGATGCCTCATCAGTGACTAGCACGTGAGGGACAAGGAGGCTCCTCCCTTTCTCCTCCCTTCCTCCTCCTCTCATAGCTCGATGACTGGGCCTGGGGTGACGGTGGCCCGGGGGTGCCTCACCTGCCGCTGAACTCATCACATGACCCTGATTTAGTTAGGATGAAAAAAGAAATGCTTTATATGGCTAACACTAGATAGTGTCCAGCATATGACTGGATTATAGGGCACATAGAAAATAATTGTTTTCTCTGTGCCTTGTTCACACCATACATTTGTGGTGGTATGCAGAAAAAATGCAGCTCAACAGACATGGCAAGAACAAGCCCTCAGTGGAGGGGCACCTTGCCTTCAGCCCAATACTATAGTGTGAAACTTCCCTTTTAATATTGTAGCACAAAATATTTTTAGCGGTTTCATTACATTTGTTTGTTGACCTTGAAGAGAAGAATAGATTTTTATTATCTGATGGCCATTGTTTCCCTCTTCTTTGTAGTTCAGCAATTATTATCGGAGGACCACGGCTGCAGCCTTCCTGCCACTCCGCAGTCCATCTCTGATCTGAAGTCTCTGGCTACAGCTCTGCTAGAAACTATTCATGAGAAAAATATGGTCATTCAGCACCAAAGGCAAACCAACAAGTATGTGTATCTGTCCCTGTGGCCTCCTGTCTGCTGTCACTGCTGAGTTCAGCTTGTACTTTTAGAGAAAGGAAGAGAAAACAAAGTGTTTCATTAAAGCTTGGGAAAAGAAAATCAGCCAAGCTGTACTCCATTCGCAGCTGCAGCTTCTGTGACCGGAAAATGCATTGGGTTCATGATCACAAAATGTCTAATAAACTTCTGTCTGGGGATTCTCTGCTGCCTGATGTTTTAAAGAAGCATTAAGAACTAAGTTTGGAAAAGCAATAAACCTTTCTGTTACTACTCACATTTAAAATTGTTCCACTTCCCGTAACTGCTGGTTAAGGTTTGCATTGTAGCCCCTTTATGAGGCTACTCCATCTCTATCATAGTAGACGATGGGGGTGATTTACTAAAGGCAATTAGGTTGTTTACTTTGCAAGGGAATTTGCATTTTGTAAGGAACGTTTCCCCCTAATTTAGTGAATGAGATGAAGCTGTGCTGGCTTCCATCACCAATAATGTGCAAGCAAAGATACTACTTGTTTTGTTATTATTACTTTCCTTGCACATGATTGGGTATTATATGCATAGTGAAATGTCACCACATTATCTAAGCTAAGAAGAAACGTTTCCAGTCTAATTGTAACAAAAGCTTTCCCAACTCTGCTCCTTCACGAGCTGTGTTATAATTCATCATGATGATGTCACCTAGGTTGTTAGGGTTTGGTTTCATATTGGCAAATAAATAAAGGAGGTAGAACTGTTAATTGGTTGCACTTAGCAGCTTGGTTGAAAAGAATAACCTGCTTCTCTGTTAAAGTTTTTGTTGCGTTCTTTGTAATTGCCTTGAGATAAATGTTATTAACACCGTTAGGAGTGTTAACAAATGCATTATGATTTAATATTTGTTTCAGAATTCTAGGTACTAGAGTGGCGGAGTTGGAGAAGAAACTGCGCACGTTAGAAGTTTCTGGGCTGTGGAGTCTTCCAGGTCAGTTTTGCTTTTCTTTCTAGATTTGCTAGTCAGAATGACTGTCCACTGGACATCAATTCACTTTGAGGCATGTTAAAAGAAACCTTTTTTGCCCATAGTTCTCTTCAGGGTCATGGGAGGACATATGCTAATGTCCTCCGGTGACCCAAAACTCAGTATATAGCGGGCTATTGACCGATGGCTGACAGCGGGCTCTGCCCATCCCCTTCCCCATCCGTTCCCCCAGTTAGCGCTGGAGAAACGGAGAGGGGAGGGGAGAATCCCTGCGGGAGCGGAGACTGGCAGTCAGTGCTCTCCGCAGGGAGATGATCGGAAGGTCTGCGATCAGCAGTATGGGTTTGCCTACTTCATGATCAATAGAGCTGACATGTGACATCTTCTTTGTCATAGGTGGGCTCGAATTATGAGGATGAGTGTTTTTCACTCACCCCATAATTCTCCTTTTAGCCCTCATTCGCACAGGTAACGGCCGGTCTGTACAGATCCGTGTTCCGTGCACGGCCATATCGGGCAGCTCTCGGGAAGGACAGGTGCTGCATGTGATTATGCGCAGCAGCCTGTCCTTCTCTATGGGAGTACGTGGCCGTACGACGCCATACGCTCACCCGACCTGCGGGTGTCTGTACTCATACGCTGACAGGATGGATCCTGTCTGCGTCTGAGCAGGGACATCCGCACCCATACGGACGTGCAGGTCGGGTGGGCATAGAGCAGCGTACTCCCATAGAGAAGGTCAGGCTACTGTGTACAAATCACACGCAGCACCTGTCCTTACCGGGAGCTGCCTGATTTGGATCTGTACAGGCTGGCCGTTACCCGTGTGAATGAGGGCTAAGTGTCATAATCGGGTAAAGTGTAAAACTAGGCAAAAACCTTTGTCGAGTTTTTATTGCTAAGAAAAGGGAAGTTGAACTAACTCATACATCCTTCTCACACCCCCTATTCCAGTCACCACTGCAATTAGCTACTGCTACAATGGTCCCAACAGTTTAAAACTTCACTACACATCCCCGGAGGATGTGTAGTAACAAAACACTTGCAGTGGTGAGCAGTCATGTGACCACACTGACCAATTAGAATCTATTCTAAGATTCTGATTAACCTTTCCAGGGCTGTGTAGTGAAATTTTGGAAGTGGTATGACCTTTCTAGCGACTGGCGCGAGAGAAGGGCGATTTATCATCCCAGCTAAAGGAGAGAGGTTGAATGGGAGGTGAAGAGGATATTGTAAGTTAGTTCACCTTTCTCATTTTTATAGGAAAAGGTGAAGTAAGCATTTAAATTATCAAGCAACAAAAGCTTTAAAGAACAACTCCAGAAAAAAAATCTATTAACCCTTACAGTGGGCCTATCCCCACACCGCAAGGGTTAACTGCTCGTTTTTGTCTAGAGTCTAAAATAAAAAAAGTTAAACTCACCCGATCCTCCCAGCTGGCCGACTGTCACAGCTTTCCCTCCAGCCTTTTCTCCTACTCCTAAGTGGCAGTGATGATATGCCCCCCAGTGTCCTCACATCTAATACACAGTGTATGTTAGGTTTCCTAAAAAAACATTACTGAAAATGTTTACTCTGATGTCCCTGCACATTGTGCACCAAAAGCTACAGCAAGTCAGATGGAGCCCGCCTCATTGCCTGGCTGGAGGACATTCAGCAGCATCTAGCTCTTTCCTCCCCAGCCTTACTTCCCACTGGCCTCATCAGATTTCAGTCCTTTCAGTTATAGAGGCTTAGCATCATATGTGGGTGTTGCCGAGAGTGGTCTGTTGTTTTCAGGAAGTTATGTAAGCCCCTCCCACCTGCTGTGCTCTTCTTGTATGGCATAGAGAAGCACAAAGACCCATTGATGATGTTACTGGGTCTAAAATAAGATAAATAATGAAATAAAATGGAGAAGTTGCATTTACAATTTTCATTAGTATAGGGATGAACCAAGGAAGGCAAAAACAGCAAAACATAAGCAGATTAATCGTCAGCTTTGAATTAAAATATTAATGCTTGGCAGATTGACCCTTTAATAACTGAAGACTCTGAGTATAGCCCAGTTCGAGCCCATGAGGGATCAATATAGGTGTGGCCAGGACCGCATATTTCCACCCCAGGGGATGTATACAGAGGAGGAGGCTGCAGCTTTAATAATGAGATAAGTAAGCAGCTGAGTGGGGAGTTTCTAGGTTAAGGTAAGTTGGGGGATAAGGGGTGGTGGACTAGCATACAGTGCACATGTACTTACAATTTCCTTGTTTGGTTTTGGTTGTATGTGATCCAAGAGAAATTGTAAATATTCAGCATTTTTGGAAAGTACTGTTTTGTGCAACTTCAGCTGAAATGTTAATTGTAATGAATTACTGTTTTCTTTCTCCTCTGCTTCACCAAGGCCTCAGCTACAATGTCTCTGTGGGAGTTGGGCGTAGGTTCAACTTTTTCTTTACATCTGTGCTAAAGGAGAACTCCACTCAGGACAAAAATGCATTTAAACTTCTACGATGTTATAAACCTTTTGTTATTTTTTTTCTTAGCTCCAGACACCAGACATGAGTGAACATAGATCCTTGCATCTGTGTGTATTTCAGGGCAGGAAGGTATAGGAGACCTGTGCTGGGAGAAATGCTTAGGCTGCCGCTGATAACCTTATTCTATAGTTGCCAAGCTGAAATATTTTTTGACTCACTAACCTGGAACAAGCATGCAGCAAGTGAGGTCAGAGTGACATCAAACCTCCAGATCTTCATAATCGTTATGGATTACTGATTCAAAGTGTTGAAGCCAGGGGATTAGTATATGCAGGAAAATAGCATTTTCAGAAGGAGAGGTCAGCTACAACAGCCTACATATTTCCCTTAATCCAGGATCCTTTTGAAGTGGACCTCCAGACATTTGGCCCAGTTAACATCATCATGTTTATAAAGTCTGCTAGGGTAACAGCCCAGAGTCTGTTATTATAATAACACAGTCAAAGCTTACTTGAAAAAAATCCCTTTTATGTAGTGAGTGCTGCCTTCTGTCTGCCCATCACTTCCATCAACTTGCTGGATTCCCAGTGTGCTTTGCATGCTGCTTGATGTGATGCAATCTTGATTTCTCAAGACTACATAGCCCATCATGCATTGCCTACAGCAAGCAATGATGATGTTACATGGTTCAGATGTTGAGCTGTAGTTCAGAAGGCTTTGTGAGAGTTTAATTTTTCCAGCATTGAGTGAAACTGTGTCAGTGCATTGAAGAAGTGCAAACTATGGACATCTTCAGTAAGTAAGTTTGCAAACTTCTAGATCAGTATGGTTATTTGGAGTGGAATAGAACTTATGGAAATTCAATATAGAAAGACATATTTATTTTTAGTTTTTGACCACAGATAACCCTTAAAAACTGTTCTCCTATATGTAGACCTAACCGTACATTTAGCTGGAGTTCCACTTTAAATAACAAGCAAACAAGCTGTAGTTGGTAAGATGATTTTTGAAGCTTTTAATTGGCATGGGAAAGATCTTTTACTGCCAAAAAAGGGTTCGCTTTTAGTAAGTCGTCATCGCCCAACCACCTAAAGAAACATGGATCAGCTAGTATTTAGTGACCCCATTTTAATGAATTTTATCTTTGACTGGAGTTCTCTTTACCAGTGACATTAATCCCTAATAATGTTTGGTATTCCGCTCACTAAATATGTTTTAACCAATGCAAATATTCTTATTGTCTGTTGTATTTTGCATGGAAGCAACTTTCATATTAATGGTCCATATATCCGTATTTGTACATTCATACCTCTCATGCCCAACATTTAGAACCAATAATGAAGTGTTCCAGTATCTGCTTAAATATAATCTGTTTCACTCAACTCTTTTCCATTATCCCAGGCTAGCGACTGTGCTCTGATCTGATTTTACTGTCTTGATGCTGTTTTGTTTTTACTTAATATAAACTACAACCTGCAAAAATGATCACAAGTCTAAGTCTAATTTAATATATTGTAGTTTATTAGTTCTTAGTTGTTATGGGTTCATTAGTTCTCCTTTTTCAGGAATCTTTTTCCTTATTCTCACTTAGTGATCCTGCTAACAACTTACTGTACTGGAATTATAATGTTCATTACTGCACTGTATCTGCAGTGTTGTCAACCTAGGCTATTTGGACTACAGAGCATCTCCTCATCTCCATAACTCTATAGTTCACAGAGGTAACCTTGATCATGCTGGTAAGACTCGGTGAAGCAAAAACAACACACACAGCAAGGAATACGCTTCCACTGAAAGCTGTTACATAGAAAAAATCAGATGGGTATATAATAGGTCACCCAGGATTGTGGTTGCTTGCACCTGTCTTTACAGCTCTGAATGAGTATCCAAGGATATTCTGCAGCTCTAAAATGTAATTTCTGGCAGTATCAAGAGGTGTTTTTTATTTCACTTATTGCAAAGTATTAAAAATGGTTTGAATTGTATATTTAACACATCAAAAGAGAGCATGTATAATAATGCGGCAAGGATCAGGGCTTTTAAGGTATCAAAACACCACTGATATAGCACAGAAGTATGTTAAGATTACATCTTTATTTTATACAAAAATATAAAAGAAAATCTGATTGTGCATAATAAAACACTTAAAACAGTGATCCCAAGTGGCTGCCTAAACTGGTGACAACATTGCATGGATTTTCCCTTTTGGTTTTTATAGATGCACTTCTTCCTCCAAACAGTCACACCAACGTAACAGGTCATTAAATGTTCACGTACCATCTTGTCTTGATTTGTATTGTGATTGTAATGTCTTCCCTATATTGTAAAGCGCTGCGCAAACTGTTGGCGCTATATAAATCCTGTATAATAATATTCACACAGCATACCTAAAAATCAATGCTATAACATTTCCTATTATATGGAGCAGGATTACACATAGGCAGCTTCTATTGCTTAAAAAAGATGGCGTATATAAAGATATCTGCCATGTAGAGATGTGGAGATAAGGGACAAACTGAGAGACAGTGCATTAACATTAAATATACCCCCCAAGCCTTGATTGCTTTAACCCGCTTTGTTAGGACAGACAGTTACGCACATCTAGCGTTCCACTCATGATGGAGATCTGCCAGCAAACTACAAACAGGGTTATTTATAGGAAACATTACTCCCCAGCCCCCTCCTTAATATCAAATAGCAAGAGGAAGCTCAATAAGACTTTTCAGCAAGTAAAATGTGAGCAGCAATTTTTAACTATTTGTTCATGTTATCCTATGTGAATGAGAACATGTAACTAATATAACATAGGTGTTATCCCAATTTGGCTGTAAAACTGGAAATACACTTGAAACTGGCTGATCTTTGCCTTCAGCAAAGATAACGTGACCAATAAGCCTTCACATGGTTAGCACTGTATGTAGCCTGAAGCAGAATTTTCTCCTAGAAAGGTAAGCATTTCAGCCCTTCTATTAGCATTTATATATACACATAGACTGTTGACTATGGGTACACTTTAACTTTGGCTATTTTAGTGCTCCAGCAAAACTGGAACGAATATGTGTGCTGCATTTAAGGTCTTCAATCATTAGGGTCTACTCCCATATATGTTAAAGGCTCATTTATGGGTGGACGGTTATGGACTGAGTTGGCCAGCTCAGACTTTATCCTGCACTCCTCGTGTGCCAGAAAGCCAGATGGCTACAGTAAAACACAACTTGTAACTTCCAGTCTATAAAGGATAAATATGGGCACTCTGATGCAGAAACAAGCATGTCAACCACCATCCCAACCCATTTTGAATGACAACAGGTGGTCATATATTTGCGTGAAAATGAAGAGCATTAATTCTGTACACCTGTAATTCTCTTGGCCATAAGAAGGCTATGAGCTATGACCATCCAACAGCTTCCAGAATGTGTACCGAGCAGCTAATACAAAGAACTTTTACTAATTTTCAAAGCAGTTTCTCTTATTCTTACTAAAAGTTGAAACCCATTTTAATTGTTACATAGAAAAAAATCAGATAGGTATATAATAGGTCACCCAGGGTTGTGGTTGCTTGCACCTGTCTTTACAGCTCTGAATGAGTATCCAAGGATATTCTGCAGCTCTAAAATGTAATTTCTGGCAGTATCAAGAGGTGTTTTTTATTTCACTTATTGCAAAGTATTAAAAATGGTTTGAATTGTATATTTAACACATCAAAAGAGAGCATGTATAATAATGCGGCAAGGATCAGGGCTTTTAAGGTATCAAAACACCACTGATATAGCACAGAAGTATGTTAAGATTACATCTTTATTTTATATAAAAGAAAATCTGATTGTGCATAATAAAACATTTAAAACAGTGATCCCAAGCGGCTGCCTAAACTGGTGACAACATTGCATGGATTTTCTCTTTTGGCTTTTATAGATGCACTTCTTCCTTCAAACAGTCACACCAACGTTAACGGGTCATTAAATGTTCACGTATGATACACTGTACCATTATCTTAATCTATGCGATGTTACATAATATGATACATTTGTATACTTTCATGTGTATCTATCTATATAGAGCATCCTCTTACTTTCTCCTGAAGAAGCCCCTATATTGGGCGCAAAACGCATAGAGGAATACTGGCACCCCTTGATACCATGACATCATGATAATATTGCATTTATTATGCACAATCAAATTTTCTTTTATATTTTTGTATAAGATAAAGATGTAATCTTAACCTACTTCTGTGCTATATCAGTGGTGTTTTTGATACCTTAAAAGCTCTTATCTTTCCCACATTACTATACATTTCCTCTTTGGGTGTGGTATCGCTTTTGCTCCATATTTATCCCCAAATTCTATATATACAGCATCAAAAGAGAGCATCTGGTAGATGTTCATAGTTGGGGTATACATACATATTAAACACGGGATGTGTGAAGGAAGGACTGCAACAGAAGTATGTGAATGAACACAATGCATCCAGTAAAACACAACTTGGACGTTACAAGTTGTGTTTTACTGTAGCCATCTGGCTTTCTGGCACACGAGGAGTGCAGGATAAAGTCTGAGCTGGCCAACTCAGTCCATAACCGTCCACCCATAAATGAGCCTTTAACATATATGGGAGTAGACCCTAATGATTGAAGACCTTAAATGCAGCACACATATTCGTTCCAGTTTTGCTGGAGCACTAAAATAGCCAAAGTTAAAGTGTACCCATAGTCAACAGTCTATGTGTATATATAAATGCTAATAGAAGGGCTGAAATGCTTACCTTTCTAGGAGAAAATTCTGCTTCAGGCTACATACAGTGCTAACCATGTGAAGGCTTATTGGTCACGTTATCTTTGCTGAAGGCAAAGATCAGCCAGTTTCAAGTGTATTTCCAGTTTTACAGCCAAATTGGGATAACACCTATGTTATATTAGTTACATGTTCTCATTCACATAGGATAACATGAACAAATAGTTAAAAATTGCTGCTCACATTTTACTTGCTGAAAAGTCTTATTGAGCTTCCTCTTGCTATTTGATATTAAGGAGGGGGCTGGGGAGTAATGTTTCCTATAAATAACCCTGTTTGTAGTTTGCTGGCAGATCTCCATCATGAGTGGAACGCTAGATGTGCGTAACTGTCTGTCCTAACAAAGCGGGTTAAAGCAATCAAGGCTTGGGGGGTATATTTAATGTTAATGTACTGTCTCTCAGTTTGTCCCTCATTTTGTCCCTTATCTCCACATCTCTACATGGCAAATATCTTTTATATACGCCATCTTTTTTAAGCAATAGAAGCTGCCTATGTGTAATCCTGCTCCACATAATAGGAAATGTTATAGCATTGATTTTTAGGTATGCTGTGTGATTATTATTATACAGGATTTATATAGCGCCAACAGTTTGTGCAGCGCTTTACAATATAGGGAAGACATTACAATCACAATACAAATCAAGACAAGATGGTAATGAGGGCCCTGCCCCTGAGGGCTTACAATCTAAAAGGGAGGGGGAAGTGATGCATGATAGGAACACATAAAAGTATAGTGGGGATTTCTCAAATTTGACTGCCGAAGTGGAAATACACTTTTAACTCTGTTCTTCTACACAAAGATCTATGGATCAAGTGTCTAGGGCTAGGCCTTGTAATATGTGCTTAGGGAGGCTGGAATGGGATTTTATATGGGAAAGGTAAGTATTTCAGTCCTTCTATCCCACACTTGCATGCACTGCTAATTCGAGTGTGTGTGTGTTTATGCAGAGATCTTCCAGTGGTTGGATTGTCGCTGCTTGTCCAACCCCACTGATCTCTCTGGGCTCCTCAGTTGAATCATCCATGGAGCAGAGGCCTTTGTTTCACTCTACCTTCTTGTTACACTTCTAGTTTATTTTAGTGTTTTGTAATTACTTCTGATTTCTGTTTTGTTCATATTATTTACAACGCAACCTCCAGCTGGTTTAGCAGCATGCCCACTGATATAATGAGAAGTTTCTCAGTAAGAAAATATTGGTATGCAATGAGAAACTCTAATACTTTGAATTTATCAATCCCAACAAGACTGTTTACACTAATATTTGAATATAGGTCTACTGTCAGAGTTGGTGTTTTGGGATCCTTTTTTGTCATATGTTTTGCTACTCTGTTTCTGGTCTTTTCTTTTGTTATACTCTATATTATTCTCTGAGCCTAACTGCACCTGACCCTTCTCTTGCTATATCTCCTCCATTCACTGAACTGTTGTGGTCGTTTTATTGTAGTATTTAACCCCTTTGACCTAAGCTTGTGACAGAGTAAATATTAAAGGAGAACTATGGGGTCAGAGCTTTTCCCCATACTTCTCCTAAGAGTAACGGGAGGACACAAACTAGCGCTCTCTGCAGGCACAGGATCGAGAAATGAGCGAGCGACGGTATGTGTTCGCTCACTTCTCGATCTATTGAGCCGGCGTGTGACAGTTTCATTGTCACACGTTGGCTCGAACTATGAGGCTGAGTGATTTTCCATCTTGCCTCATAGTTCTTCTTTAAAGCTGCAAATGTTGACCTGAACTATTGGCATTCAGCTTTAGGTTGTTATTATAGTGAACCCTTACCTCTCAGGGATAGGGGTGCTGCCATTCTCTTGTATTCTCTCCCTGTCAGAGCAGAAACTGAAAAGCTGAG